TGCTATGAGTTCAAGGCCAGCCTGGACTACATGGGGAGACCCTGTTTGAAAAACAACAGTGTGATGGTACATGCCTATAATCCCAGCACTTGGGAGGCTGAGGCAGGAGGATCAGTTGCAAGTTCGAGACCAGCCTGGGCTACAAAGTGAGCTCAAGGCCAGTCTAAACTGCATAGCGAAACCTTGTCTCAAAAAAAAAAAAAAGAAAAGAAAAGAAAAAGAAAAGAAAAGAAAACAACAACAAAAACAAAGCATTATTTTCTGGAAGTAAATTGTGCATGTAGTCAACATTTTAGAACAACATATTAAAGGGTATATAGTACAGACCAACAAAACCTCATTCCTATCTTCTTGCTTTTCCCGTATGAAGTGTCATTCTTCCTGGTTTCCTGGGTGTCTCTCCAGAGTGTTCTGTGCCATTGTAATTGAGATCTCTGAGCTCTGGGGGAAGCCGGCAGGAGAGGAGGCTGTCTGCACAATGCTCGTCTTGGCCCGGCTCAGGTGCAGGTGACCGGAAGTGAAGCCTCCAGGTCTGCAGGTGCATCCGGTCCCACGGTCCCCAGGCGATGTCAGTGCTCACGGCGCGGGCAGCCTGGCATATTTTATTCTCTGCCCCGTGGCTTTGGGCAGTTAGAACTTGAGTTTCCCACCCATGTTTCCAGGAAATAAAAACAAAGACTGACTTTATAGTTCTGTTCCTCATATGACTTGTTCACCCATCTTTTCATTACATAAGTGGCTTAGATCTCATTTTTAAACAGACACACAGGGGTTTAGGAACAGAACTGTAAAAGTGCCCACTCAGAGCAGGCCCGCGAGAAGGGCGGGCCCGTTACAGTCGGGAGCCCGAATAGCTCTGCGGCTTTGGCGGTGGAAATCTGCAGTTGTGACTGGGTAGCAGGTTTGGGCTTGGTTTACAGGAGAGAAGTGAGGGCCGCACCACAGCGGGCAGACAGCGGCTCACCGCACAGGCCAGAGAGGGCCCATTTCGCAGGATACAAGGCTTAGGCCCGGCTTTGGTTTTTTTGTCCTGTTTTGGCTTTGTTTTAACATGGGTGATCTGAGACGTTTTACCAGAAGACATTCTTTCAAACTTGGCCTCCCAGAACAAGGTTTCTGGGCTTTGCCTCATCTGCAAGATGGTGGAGCAGCTCACAGGCCCACTAAGGGACCTGGGGGGCGCCTGGCCTGGAAGAAGAGAAGCCTGGACAACCTGGCGGGCTTGGAGGTGCTGTGAACCCCGCGTGGCTCTGTCCTCCAGGAGGTCAAGCGACTGGGAGAGTGGGTCCTGCAGAGGGGTCCCGTGCACCCCTGGTTCTGGCTGACCTTGGAGGGCCAGGCTAGGACATCGGCTTCTTCTCACCCTTTTACTGACTTTAGCTTTGCTCTCCCAGCTTCAGCTGTTGAACACCCAGAAGGCCAGTTCTATGCGGTTTGCCTTTGAGCAGTAGTCTTTTGTTTCTTTCTTTTTTGTCTTTTTGACAAGGTCTTACTATGCAGTTCAAGCTGGCCTTGAACTCATTTTGCAGCCCAGGCTCATCCCAAACTTACAAGGATCCTCCTGCCTCAGCCTTCCCAGTGCTGGCTTGAAGGTGTGCACCACTACTCCTGGCTGGAGCAGTAGGTCTGAATCCCCTTATCATCTTTTCTGGATATATCGGGCACTGTGAAACGTGAAGTGTGACCAGAGGACAGCTGCCACTTCTATCAGCCGTGGTCAGCATTAATGCAAGAGGCCAGTGTCATCATCTCACTGCCCTGTCGGTGATGGGGTGCCACCAGTGTGGGGTAGAGGCCAGGGAGAGGCCGGATTTGCAGGGGTGGCGAACCTATGGCACGAGTGCCACAACAGGCTGTTTGTTATCATTGAAAGCTCTAAAAGGTTCGCCACCACTGCTATAGAGTGTTCATAGCAGTTATGACATTCTGCAAGAGGCACGGAAAATAAAGATAAGAGCAACCATAGCGTTTGAAAATAATTACGTTGACGTTATTATACCAAGACCATCAAGGTGTATTACCTCTCTAAAACTACATTCAATTTCTCATTTTAGTGTAAAATAACTTAGTAAGTAACTTCTATCAAATTTTAAAATACTAATTTTTAATTTTTTATTTTCTGGCTTTGAACTCACTAAGGAGCCCAGGTTGGCCTAGAACTTGAGGCAGTCCTCTTGCCTCAGGCTCCCAAGTGCTGGGATTACAGGTGTGCACCACCACACTCGACTGAAATATTAAGTTATATAAATAAATTCTCCTCTAAATTTGAATCTGCATGGCTTGAGATATATCTCAGCCCCCAAAAAGGGGAGCTGTGACGTTAGGCGAATTGAGCTTGGGCCTTTAGGTTTTTTTTGAGAGTGAGAGAGGTGAAGGAGAGGGAAAGAGTTTAAAGAGCAGTTTGGAGCTCGGTGTGGTGGTGCACACTGGTAAACCCAGTGTGGGAGGCTGAGGCAAGAGGATCGCTGTAAGTCAGGGCCGGCTTAGGCAACATACTGAGTTCAAGACCAGCCTGGTCTACATAGTGAGACCCTGTCTCAAAAAACAAAAATCTAGCAGGACATGGTGTAATCTCCTGTAATCCCAGCACTCAGGAGGCTATGGCGGGTGGATCACTGCAAGTTCGAGGACAGCCCAGGCTACAAAGTGAGCTCAAGGCTAGCCTGAACTGCATAATGAGACCCTGTCTCAAAAAGACAAACAAACAAGACAATACAAAAGAGCGGTGTGGAGGATCTCCTTTTTATTTTTATACTAGGAACTGAACTCAGGACCTTGTGCTTGCCAGGTAGGCACTTGTGCCACTGAGCTGTATCCCTGGCCCAAGGATTTCCCTTCGTCTAAAGGGTTTTAGACCTGCTGATCTACGTGATGGCAGAGACCGAGGCTGGCCCCTCCACTGTGGCGCAGGACCAGTTTGTCCTGCGGTGTGTGAGACGCCCGGCGGTCTGGCCTTGACTGTGTCTCCCTCTGAACAGATTTTACTTCCAGCGACCCAGGAGCGGGGTGCGTGTGCACAAGGGACACCTAACGAGGCGGGAACGCGCCCCGGCGTGCTCCCGCCCCAGTCCTGCGGAGGAGGCCAGGGCCTTCACCCCTGTGCTGCTGGAGTGTGTGTGTGTGTGTGTGTGTGTGTGTGTGTGTGTGTGTGTACACGTTGTCTAGAGACTGAAGGGATGGATGGTAGCTGCTCAGAAGGACACAGCCCAAGCTGAACAACTTGAGGGACAGAAGCTCCATATCAGAGGGCGGGGCTTGGGGAGGGGCAGATGGACGCACCGTCTGTGCCTCCAGGCTGGCCTGCGGAAGGACAGGCTGGCAGGAGGGTCCGCGGCCCCCACAGCAGAGACAGACCCTTTCCTCGCCCCCCTCATAGGAGAGGGTGCAGGTAATTTCTAGGACACATTGATAAGACGCATACCGAGATTTACTGGGTAGAATTTCAAAGGTAGACACTCAAACATACAGAGTATGGGTCCTCAAGACAGAGGGGCCTGTTTTCTTTTTTTTTAATGTGACTTTTTGCAATATTAAGTGTTTTTTTCCTGACTGAGGACATGAATTATTTATAGATATTATTGACTCAAAAAGAAAAATAAAGGTTATATTAATTTTAAATTAACCCTTGTGAATCAAATCTTGTAACTTTTTTGTTTTGTTTTGTTTTGTTTCTGATACCAGGAATTGAACTCACGACCTCGTGCTTGCCAAGCAAGCGCTGTGCTGCTGAGCGAAATCCCCAGCCCCTAAGCCTCACAGTAATTTTTAAACTTCAGTGTATCTGAATCATCTGGGGTGCTTGTTAAAAATGTAGATTTTTGTTGTCGGGTGTCAGGCACACACCTGAGCACTTGGGAGGCTGAGGCAGGAAGATCGCTTCAAATCTGAGGGCAGCCTGAACTGCATAGCAAGACCCTGTCTCAAAAAACAAAACAAAAAAATGTCGACCCTGTGGATCTCCCTTTCCCGTACCTCCCACCAAAGGGTCCAGTGTCGTGTGTCTGGTATGAGCCTACAGGGTCCCGAAGGAATAAGTTCCCGGATCATACTGGAAGCTGAACAGAGGCTGGAAAGGAAACCAACCCTGTCTCTAGCTGGGAAAACGTTTATTGTTCCAGCTGCAAAGCCTGTGACTTTTTGGCTAACAGTGAATGTCCCTTCTTATTTTAAGCTAAGTAGAATTTGTAACAGGGAAGCTTTCCTTTCAAGTTAGCGGCAATGAGATTTGGGTATGGAAAGTTCCTCGCACGGTACTGTGGCAGAGGAAATAGTAATGCGCTCCGGGAACTCTGCTCTTTCAGGGGTGTTGGGGCCCAGGTTGAAAACAACAGAACCACAAGTGCGAGATAAAGGCCAAACTTTGTGCACAACAAGCTGCAGGAAACTTGGAGAGCAAATGGGAATTGAGCTGAAAACAATCAGCCAGAAGTGGAGCAAACTTTGTAAATGTGACTGTGTGACTTAGCTCAAGCCGTTGTAGGAGTGAAATAAGTTTCGGGTTGCCTGGTCAGCTATGTTGGTTTCTGTGGAACTGGATGACTTACGTAATACTGTAGGCATAGGCCAAATCCTGCCCTTTCTGCTTGATTTTGTAGAGCTGGCTGTATGGTAGCAATTGATCTATGTTGTGAATGGCTTAAAAAAGAATGTCTTGTAAGGACTGAAAATTATATGAATTCACATTTCATGTCTATCAATAAAGTTTTATTAGAACACACAGCCACGCTCATTTGCTTGCATCTATAGGTGATAACGTATAACACATATGCTATCCGGCTCTACAGAAAATGTTTATAGACTTTGATTTAGCACCCTCCTCTCCTAAAAACCGAACTTCCTTGGAGTAGAAGTTACGGGATCAGAATTTCAACTTCTTTCCATCAATCCACACTTCTTAGCTTTCTGTTTTTCTAGAAAACTTTTGTGTTCAGAGTTTTAGTTACTCAAAATGCTTCTGAAGAAGAAAAAACTTTCTAATTTCTCACCCTGTTTTGTTGCAGGAACATGTGGAATTCATTCAAAATACATGAGATCGGTGTATCCCACCAAGACATTCCCAAATCATTACACCATTGTCACGGTGAGTGGTTGGCCCAGTGGGAAGACAGACAGCCCACAGACAGGAAGTGATTGTGTCACACAGACAGGCTTGGGTCACAAGCACAAACAGCACTGGTTCATGGCTTAATTTAGGCCAGGAAGCCTGGGTACTATGAAGCCAGTAAAGGGCGGAGAGGCCTTAACATGAATGAGCGTACTAGGATTAGGTTCCTTGACTTTTGTGAGTGACCAGCGACAAGCCCTGTCATGAGAAATACCTTTAACTTAACAGAGGCTTGCTGGGAATAGTAGGCTATTCATAAGGACAACTTTGGGGTGGAAAATTTTTTCTTAGTATTTTTATGATTATTTGACTTGATAAAGACATCTGTTTCATAAATGAACTCATTCATGAACTAATTTACATCTCAGCCAGATATGGCAGTGCACACTTGTAATCCCAGTCCTTGGGAGGCTGAGGCAGGAGGATGGCCCTGTGTTTGGGGCCAGCCTAGGCTACATAGTAAGTTCAGGGCAAGCCTGGCTAGAATACATAGCAAGACTCTGGCTCAAAAAACTAAAGAGAAAATAAATACATAAATAAATGCTTCTGTCTAACACATTTTTGTACTTGTGGCTAATATAAACAGTGGCCGATCATTACTATAGTATGGAAACTTCAGTAACAGTCAGTTACTAAACATCCACAGTTCATTTATAAAAGCATCAGCAGTACAGACAGTCTGCCTGCATCCCTCTCCGTATCTCGTGACCTTCAGGTCAAGGTCCCGGTGTTTTGTATGGTAGGTGTGCGCCATCCTCACAAATATGGATATGGGTCTCACACTCCTTTAACTTCAGTGTGTGTTTTACCAGCACCGTACTTTATCTTAATCTCTGTTTTGAAATTAACATGTAGGGGCTGTATCCAGAATCCCACGGCATCATTGACAACAACATGTATGATGTGAATCTCAACAAGAATTTCTCACTTTATTCCGATGAGAAGAACAACCCCGACTGGTGGAGCGGGCAACCGGTGAGTGGCCCCATCTGCAGTTTTGACTTCCTCCCAGTGGCTGCCAAGGGCTGGGGTGTGAGGCTGTCTCACCACTATGTAGCATTAAAATTTGAATTTGTTAAGACATTTATGTTTGTTCATCCAAATGGTCTTGTGTGAAACTTGGGTGATATGTTAGAAATGGATCAATCTGACCTGAGCATGCGGTATACACTTGTAATCCCAGCACTTGGAAGGCTGAGGCAGGAGGATCGCTATGACTTCAAGGCCAGTCTGGGCTATACAGCAAAGCCTTGTCTCAGAAGAAACATACCAACAAACAAACCAAAAAGCACACAGAAAAATTATCTGTTAATATTCCCTCAATTCGTTTTGCAATTTATTTTAATTATTTATGCATTTATATACATATGTATGTATGGATTTCTATTTTGAGACGTGGTATATTACCCAGGCTGGCCTCCAACTGTACCTCCTGCCTCAGCCTCCTAGTATTCTGTGATTACAGACATGTACCACGATGTCTGGTTATAATTCTTTTAAATGGAAAGGAAAACTGTATAGGGGCTGGGGATTTAGCTCAGCGGCACAGCACCTGCCTGGCAAGCACAAGGTTGTGAGTTCGGTTCCTGGTACTGGAAAAAAATCCAAAAAAAGAAAAGAAAACTGTATAATTTTACCAGTTTGAAAAAAAATGAATTGGGTTCCTATTGCCTTCCTATGCTTTTTTATTTTGGAGACAGATATTTGAGTAATTATACATTTTAACTGTCACACAGACAAATTGTAATAATTGCAGTAAATTTTAGAGCCAAAATTTTTGTCCTAGGAGGTTGCACTATGACCACGCACACTAATTACCCTACTCTGTTTGGTTAACCTGCTTTCCCTTCTTCCAGATCTGGCTGACAGCCATGTACCAAGGGTTAAAAGCTGCCTCCTTCTTCTGGCCTGGATCAGATGTGGCTATCAATGGTTCCTTTCCTACCGTGTACAAGCCTTACAACGGGTAGGCGAGCACTTTCAGACGCGGCTCGGTCTAGGCAGGAGGGATTAGGTCTTGGTGCTTTCGTTTTGCGAGACAGCGTCTCGCATGCAGTCCAGGCAGGCCTTGAACTGGTGGCGATCCTCCTGCCTCAGCATCCCGAGCGCTGGGATCACAGGTATGCGCCACCACACCCCGCTGCGTTTTTCTGGTTTCCCTAGCACTGGTCACCGTGTCGCACACTAGCATTTATACATCAGTCCCTTGTGTGCTGCTCGTCTTTCTCTGCTGAGCTGTAATCTTTCCTTTGCTCACTGGTGATTCTGTTTCAAACAAACCTGAGTGTTTAGCAGTCGATGCTGAAGGCACATAAACGCAGCGTAGATCGCACGGGAAAACAGGCCACCGCCTTTTCTGCAGGCTGAGCGCCCTGAGTGCGAGAGCACGGAGGAACCAAAGCCATGCACTGCGCGTGCGCGGCAGCAGCACCCGCCTCAGCCCTCTGTGGGCCGAGCCCTGAGACCGCGTGGTGTCTGGAGACCGCCTGGCTGCCTGGGGAGACGCAGCATGGACTCAGTTTCCACTTGATTGCCTCATAAACATGATCTTACCCTTCTTTTCAGCTCCGTCCCCTACGAGGAGAGGATCACCACACTCTTGAAGTGGCTGGACCTGCCCAAAGCGGAGAGGTAACACCCGCAGCTCCAGGGGCAGAGGTCGGGTGTAGCGGGACACGGGTGGGAAAGAAATGCAGTTATGGATTGCCTTGACAGTTTGTTTATTTATTTATTATTTTTGTGGTGCTTGGGGTCGAACCCAGGGCCTTGTGTCTGCAAGGAAAGAGCTCTACCACGGAGCCACATCCCCCTGGGCCCATGACAGTTTTTGAAAAACAACTTGGCATTGCGTTTTTCTTTCTTGAGCTGGGATCTCAAGGCTGACCGGAACTCCCTGTGTAGCCCAGGGTGGCCTCAAACTCTCAGCAATCCTCCTGCTCAGGCTCCCCAGGTGTAGGGTTACAGGTATGTGCTACCCGCTACCACACCCGGCTGGGACTGCCTCTTAGGTGGCACTTTTCAAGAGTTATTCCTGAGAGCTCTTTGCTCTTGAGAAGGCAGTTGACACTATTAACCTCGGAGACAGAGCGAGTGCGGGAGAGGAGAGGCCCATATCCCTGGGTGAAGTGAGGACCGGCTGCAGAAATGACAGGGTGCTGGAGGAAGTTCCGGGTAGTACATCAGAACCCAGAAACACACAGAGTGGGGGCGCACGGCCCAGAGTGTGTGTACTGGCTTAGCAGGAGGTCAGAGCTTTCTGGAAACCTATAGCACAGGTGCACAGACAGGTAGGATCTGCCAGGGCATGGTGGGTATCCCCGAGTGAGGCACAGGGCGCTCTTCATCCTGCTGGGCCAGGTTTCAGCAACAGGAGGGGAGGAGGGTCCGTGCTGTGCCTCCCCTAGCCTGGCTGTCTGTGTTTCCACCCCCAGACCCAACTTCTACACCATCTACGTGGAGGAGCCTGACTCGGCAGGCCACAGCTATGGACCCGTCAGCGCTGGCGTAAGTTTAAGAAAACGGGAAAGCAGTTAGCTAAGACTACTGAGCACAAAGGTATCTGATGAGTACGTGATTGCTCAAAATAATTAGTCTGAAGAGTATCTTTTCACCTGTGAAAGAGTTAAAATTCTCTAAAGGTCTTAGCATAGCTTGATTCCTTTGATTAAACACTTACTTGATAAACACTTACTGAACATTCTGATGTGGTGCTGTTGGTTCATACACTGAAAATATCAGCGCTAAATACTTCATGGAGCTGGGTGTGGTGGCGCATACTTGTAATCCCAGTGATCAGGAGGCTAAGACAGAAGGATCACCAGGAGCTTAAGGGTACTCTGGGCTGCATAGTAAGTTCAAGGTCAGCCTGAATTACATGGTGAGACCCTGTCTCAATAAGTACATATGTACATTCACATATACATATGTGTATATGTGTTGCATGTGCCAACTCACCGTGCCAATGGCTCATTTCAAGCAAAGTTGCCAGCCAGTCATTGTGGTGTATGAACTGTGTACTCATACAATGGTTACATTGCTAAGTTCCTTATAATTTGATTTAATATGTTATTGCTACACACAAGGTTATTTCCCTCCCAGGCCCCTGTTATTGTGGGAGTGAGATTAAATACTTCTTTCTTCATTAGCGAGTTTTTTTGTTGTTGTTCTGTTCTTGTTTTTATTTTTTCCTTCTCTCTTTCCCTCTGGTCTTCTTCACCAGTTTTGCAAAGTTTGCATAATCTTCCTTTGTCCTCCAGCCTTGCTTCTAAACTCTTCTTCTTCTCCTTCTCTATCTTTTCCCCTTAACCCATTTTAAATTTGCTCCCAAGTGTAAAATCACTACACTGAGGGCATATTTACTATACACAATTTTCTGGTTTGCTTTAGATTTTCTTATATAACCACAAATACAGTTCACGTGGTTACAGGTATCAAACTAATAGCTACCACAGTTCATCATTTCCTAGGCTGTGTTTGATGCTACTTGTTATTCTTGATTGTACTACTTTAACCATAATTGTTCCAATCACTTGTTCTTCCTGGAGTGACAAGACTGAGATTGCCTAAGAGTCCTGAAAAATAATATAAACCAGTCACAAAGAACCAAGTGCTGGGCCAAATAGGAAGCAACTTCTCATCCCCAATAAACTGGAGAGGTGTGATCTTGCAACAGACTCAAAACCCAAAAGCCAGTTACTCCTGAAAGACACCTCTGATAGTCATTTCCTAAGAATTCTAAAGACTGGCAATGAAGCTAACTGTCAGAAGCAATTTACAAGCATCAACCCAGGAATTAAACTAAGAAAATTAGAACGTGAGAAGACATTTAAGCGAGATGCAGCCCCAGGCTTCCAGCTCACCAAAGGCAAACCTAAGGGGCGATGAGGTGGAGCAGCTCAAAAGCAACCTACCTGAACTCTCTGAAGTGGTAATAGCAAAAATAACAAAGATGAATGTGGTTAGAAGAAATCAAATCAGAAATAATTTCTCAGAAAACTATAGAGCTGGTGACTATAATGAAAGATACAGTTAGTAACTCAAGAGCAGATACTGATAAAAAAAAAAATAGAGGAGCTTCAGAAAATGCTGGAAACCATAAATTCCCAACATAAGAAAGAAATGGAATCTATGAAACAGATTCAAATATATCCAGGGGATTAAAAATTCCATAAAGGGGCCAGAGATCTAGCTCAGTGGCATAAACACCTGCCTAGGAAGCACAAGGTCCTGAGTGTGATTCCTGGTACCCCCCCCCAAAAAAAAATTCCATAGAAAGTATACACAGCAGAATGAGCCAATGTGAGTGAGGACAGAATATGAGATGTAAAAGACAGGACTGGGGTTAGTGATCATGAAAAGACAGATTTCTTTAAAAATACCAAGGGACCACAAAAAATCTAGCAGCTGCTAGATGATGCAAAGAATAACATAAGATTGATCAGAGTCAATGAAAAAGTAGGAGACTGTGCAAATGACATAAAAAATTTGTTCACAGAAGTAATGACAGAAAACCTCCCAACCAGGAAAAGAGAATTTGACATATAAATAAGTGAGGCATGTAGAATTCCAAACAGCCATGATTAAAAATATCTATACAAGGCATATAATAGTTAAGATTTCAGGAATTCAATAGAAGAACAAAATATTAAAAGGTGTTAGAGAAAAGAAATAAATCACCTATAAAGGAAAGCCCATCTGAATCACAGTGGACTTCTCAACACAAACCTTCAAGTCAGGAGAACTTGGAGTGAAGTATTTTAAGCCTTAAAAGAAACCAACCTCCACCCCAGATTAATCTACCGACAAAACTATCTTTCAAAATTGGTGGTGAAGTGAGATACTTCTATGACAACATCTGAAGAAATTCATAACTTCCAAACCAGCACTCTAAAATGTTCTGAAGGACATTCTAGAAAGAGATAACAAGAACTACACCTCCATGAACCCCAACAGAAGGAATCTACCAGGCAAGGCAAGCTATTAAACAGAACCAAAAACAGTAAAATAAAATGACAAGGCAAGTTAATATATACCAGTTATAGCCATCAATGTTAATCACCTCAGTTCACCAATCAAAAGACACAGACTGGCAGAATGGATCAAGAAGCAAGAGCCAACAATATGCAGCATATGAGAAACATTTAATTCAAAAAGAAATTCAAAGACTGAAAGTCAAAGGATGGAAAACAGTACTCCATGGGATGGGAACCCTGAAAAAAGCAGGGGTAGATGTTCTGTTTGCAGAAAAGTGGATTTTAAATCAAGACCGATTAAGAGAGACAAAGAAGGTCACTACATCCTTGTAAAGGGAACAATCCAAGAGGAAGAGGTAACAATGATAAATATGTATACAACAAATAGCAGTACACCCAGTGATATAAAACAAATATTAATAAACATGAAAAATTAAATAGCCACTAATAAAATCATAATGGGGGACTTTAATGCCTCACTGTCATAAATAGATCAACCGACAAAAAGTCAAGAAAAATATGTCAGAACTGAACCAAACTTTTGAACAAATGGCCTTAGTAGATATCTACAGTGTTCCAGCCCACAACATGGGAATACACATTCTCCTCAGCTTCACATGAAAAATTCTCCAAAATAAACCACATACTAGCTCATAGAACATGCTTAAGTAAATGCAAAGGAATTGAAATTATCCCAAGCATATTATCATATGGTAGTGCAATGAAATTGGAAACCAATGGCAAAAGAAACCACAAGAAGTAAGTTCATAAACACATGGAAATTGAATAATACCTTACTGAATAAACAATGGGCCACAGGTCAAATTAAAGAAGTTAGACAGTTTCTACAATTAAATGGTATCGCCAGTACAGCAGATCCAAACTTGTGGGATTCAGTGAAAGCAGACCTACGAGGGAAATTGATAGTGATGAATTCCATATCAGAAAAAGAGCAAGTTCAAATGAACAACCTAATATTGAACCTCAAGCTTCTGGAAGAAGAAGAGCAAGTGAAGCCCAAAGATCATACAAGGGAGGAAATTACAAAAATCAGAGCATAAATTACTGCAGCAGAGACTAAGAATACAAAGGACACATGAATTGGAGAGTTGGGTCTTTGCAAGATTAGTCAACCTTATTTTAAAAAGGACAGAAAACACTCAAACTCACACAGTTAGGAATAAAATGGGTAAAATCACAACAGATCCTACAGAAATCCAGAAGATTATCAATACCTACTTTGAGAACCTATATTCTTTATTTTTTCTTTCTCTTTTTGTATGGGGAATTGAACTCAGGACCTTGCACTTACTGGGCAGGTGCTGTGCCACTGAGCTATATCCCTGGTGAGAACCTATATTCTGTTTTTTGTTTGTTTGTTTGTCATTTTGAGACAGTGTCTTGCTAGTAGTTCAGGCTGACCTTAAGGTCACTTTGTAGCCCAGGCTGGTCCTGAACTCGCAACTGATCCTCCTGCCTCAACCTCCTGAGTGCTGAGATTACAGGCATGTGCACCACACCTGGCTCCTATATTCTAATAGATGGAAAAAAATCTGTCCAAGAAATGGACAGATTTCCAAATACATATGAATTACCAAAGCTGAATCAAGAAAATATAAAAATTCTCAATGAAGTTGAAGATGTAATTAAAAACCTACTACCAAAGAAAAGCCCTCAATGTTAATCACCTCAGCTCCTGAGGGATTCACTGCTGAATTCTACAAGAAATTTAGAGATGATCTAATGCCACTAATGTTTGAACTCTTTCATGAAATTGAAAGGGAAGCAGTACTCCCAAGTTCATTCCTGGAAGCAAGCATTACCTGATACCAAAATCAGAGAAAGATCCAACCAAAAAAAAGAACTATAGGTCAATCTCCCTAGTGAACATAGACACAAAAATCTTCAATAAGATGCTGGCAAACATAATGCAGCAAATTATCAAGAAGATTTTACCCCATGACCATGTAGGATTCATCCCATTTCTAGGTAAATGGATGCACCTTGAGACCATACTCTTAAGTGAAAGAAATCAGACACACATGTGTAAATACCACATTGTTTCTGTGGTGTGAGGGACCGAAAGTGTAAATCAGGACCAAATGTATCTTAGATATTGGGAAATGGGAAGAAAATGTTCAAGGGAGAAGAGGAACTAAGGAGGGGGAGGGGAAAGGGAAGAAGGGCCAAGAATGAAAAGAGAATAAGAGGAGAAAATGGGAACAAAGCTTTGTAAATAAGGAGGGGAAGAGGAGCTGAAGGAAATGGGAACCAAAGAAGATGGATCATGCACAGGTACAAATCCCCATGATGAACGTGATCGTTATGCATATGTAAAATTTACCAGTGAAAGAAAGTTCTCTAAGTTACAAAATAAACAACACAAATACAAAAAAAGGCAATCACTGTTCCAACAGTATTAGGAGACATTAAACACTTTTCCTAACCTATTACCTTTACACTTGTCCATTCATCAGTGAAATTTACTTACCCTTTAAGTCCGTGCAATGTGCTACATGATAAAGTCTAGACAAATTTAAAAGCTCAAAGAATATAAACAACAAAATAAACATGGTCCCTAATCCACTATTTAGAAACAAGTACTGTGCCCAGCACTCTGGCTTCTTTCCTTTCTGTTCTCTGCGCACATGTGCTCGCTAAGAAGTGCTAAATACATGCAGTCCACAAGCAGCCTCTGCAGGGCGTGGTCGCTCAGGGCTCTTGGCTTCCTGCCTCTTGCTCATGGTTAGCATCCCTTGTGAGCCCTTCCCTGAGCCTTTTCTTTGCAGAGTGTTCTGGAAGGGCAGAAGAGTGTGCGGCCCAAAGTGCAGAGTGCGTGCCGGGTTTTATTATTCCCGGAATGTAGGCTGTAAATCAGCCCTGTGATGCATATCACTGTCCGTCCTCTTCACTTGCACTCCAAGTCCTCACTTAGAACAAACGCCCAGAGTACAATTTCTGGGTTACAACATACACTCCTTTTAACTCTGCGGCTCTCCACTGTCCCATGAGACACTCCCGCCTTTTGCCTGATCAGATGATGGCATGGCTGATGACAACGATGCGCGGCCTTCTTGACTCCGCCCTCTGCAGGTGATCCAAGCCCTGCAGCTTGTGGACCAGGCCTTCGGGATGCTGATGGAGGGTCTGGTGCAGCGGGACCTGCACAACTGCGTCAACATGATCCTGGTGGCTGACCACGGTACACTGCATTTTAAAGTCATTCTGTTTGTTTTTCTTTTTCTTTTTTGGTCTTTTTGGGACAGGGTTTCACTGTGCAGTTCAGGCTGGCCTTGAGCTCACTTTGTGACCCAGGCTGGCCTCGAACTCTCGACCGCCCTCCTTCTTCAGCCTCCCGAGTACTGAGGTTACAGGTGTGCGCCACCAAGACAGAGTCTCACTGTGTAGTCCAGGGTGGCCTCTAACTTGAAGCAGCACTCCTGTCTCAGCCTCCCAGAGTGCTGAGATTACAAGTGTGTGCAAGCGTGCCCGGCTTTGCTCCATTAGTGGTTTTTTTTTTCTTTTTTCTTTTTCTTTTTTTGAGATAGGTCTTGGTATATGGTTCAGACTGGTCTTGAAATTACTCTGTAGCTCAGGCTGGCCTCAAACTCAGCCATCCTCCTGCCTCAGCCTCCCGAGTGCTAGGATTGCAGGCATGTGCCACCATGCCCAGCTTAGTTTTTGGTCTTTTGAGATAAGGTCTTGCTATGTAGTTCAGGGTGGCCTGGAATTTATTGTGTAGTCCAGGTTACCCTCAAACTGGCTGAGATCTTCCTATTTCAGGCTCCAAATGCTGGGATTAGAGGCTGCATCACCACACCCAGCTCTGTCCCCATTTTTTTAAAATTAAAAGGAACTGGGGACTGGGCATTTACCTCAGCAGCACAGCACCTGCCTGGCAAGTGCTAGGTCATGGGTTCGATTCTTGGTACCAGAAAACAAAACAAAACAAAACAAAAAAATTATTGGGGCTGAGGATTTAGCTCAGTGGCACAGCACCTGCCTGGCAAGCGCAAGGTTGTGAATTTGATTCCCAGTACTGGAAAAAAAAATAACAAAAATAAATAAATTAATTAAATTAAATTAAAAGGAACCTTTTAATGCACATTTCATTCCAAGAAACTGTCAGGCTATCTTGTGTCTCATGGTAAACCACCCTACGCTGTAGGGTGTATTTTTCTTTATTATTTTTTCCTAATTTTACTTGGCCCTAATTTCCTCTAGACAGCCTGGTTTTTTTCCTACCTTTAATAAAAGTGAAGTCTTGCCACCATTAAAAAAGAAACTGTTACAAATAAATTTACACTCAGCCTGAGGAATCTGCACATAAAAAAAAATTTAACTGGCTGAGATCTTCAGCCAGTTAAAAAAATTAACACCTCATTTTAGAGTACACCCTGCTTAGTAAATTTGTTCAACATGTACTTAAAAGTAAATGAGTATTTTTGAATCCTTATTCTCTTAATGTATATCTGATAAGAGTACATGCTATTTGCAGCACTTGGCAGGCTGAAGCAGTGAGTTCGAGGCCAGCCCAAGTTACATAGTGAGACCCTGTCTAAGAAAAGTACATGCTATTCTGTTTTCAGTATGTATCAATTGTCTTATATGCAAATACCTACCCCAATTTTTTTCTTATTTGAGACAAGATCTTGCTATGCAGTGGCCTTGAACTCACCATGCAGCCTAGGCTGGCCCCACACTCTCAGTGATCCTCCTGCCTCAGCCTGCCGAGTGCTGGTGTGCGCCACCACGCCCGGCCCTTCTTCCTGTTTCTGCATGACCGTCTTTTTCCATTCAGGAATGGACCAGACCTACTGTGACAAGGTGGAGTACATGTCGGATTATTTTCCCCAGATCAACTTCTACATGTATCAGGGACCCGCCCCCCGCTTCCGGGCTCGGAATATACCTCAGGACTTTTACAGCTGTGAGTAGGAGACCCCGTTGAAGGGGGAAGGGGGAACGTTAACTACCAAGCCTATCCCTGATTTGGGGGATGCACAGGACTACCAGGCCCTCCTCTGACTTCCTGCGAAGACCACAGAAACAAGCACTATTCCCAGTTTCAGTACAGTCCGTGCATATAGTCTAGGGCAATGCAGTTTTCAGTACTGTTGGGTTAGATCTACTCTTTTTGGTACTGAGAATCAAAACCCAGAGCCTCAGACGTGCTAGGCCAGTGCTCTACTACAGACCTGGTAGAGCAGAAGAGTGTGCCACTGAGGGTCACAACCCTTTTAATTTATGTATTTATTTTGAGATCAGGTCTTGTTAAATTGCCCAGGCTGGTCTCGAACTTGCAGTCCTCCTGCCTCAGCCTCCTGAGTAGCTGGGATGAGAGGCATGTGCCACAACACCTGATATCTTTTACTCTATTCTGTTAAGGATTTTTTTTTTTTCCTGGTACCGGGAGTCGAACTCAGGACCTTGTGCTTGGCAGGCAGGCGCTTATGCCGCTGAGCTATTTCCCCGGCCCTCTTTTACTATATTCTGAAACGCTAAAGTACTTCATTGTTTGCAGTAACTTTTGTTTCATTTTACCGGGTCATATAAAGTGTTATGAAATTCACCTCCATCGTCCCCAGTGTTTGCAGTTGTCAAGTCGCTCTTGTAACGTGATTTCTTTCTTTTTCTTCTGAACAGTTAATTCTGAAGAAATTGTTAGGAACCTCAGCGTAAGTATTTCGTGGTCCTTGAATTATCCGGTTAGCACAATGACCGTACTGTGGATGCCGAGGAAGGTCGTTGTGTGATCCGGAGTCAGGGCCGCTTGTCGCTCTTTGGGAAGCCCCCCGTCACCGTGCACAGTGGGTTTCCTCCTGGTTGCTTTCATTTTGGGTTTCACCGCCTGGGGAAAGCGGCTTGGGAACAAAGGTGCGGACTCCTTTCCCTCGCAGACTGAGTCCCTGGTTGTGCTGGCGAGTGTCAAGGTGCACCACAGCCAGTCGCAGAGCCTCACAGGCCCTTAAACAGATCACAGAAAGAATCTCTTTCCCCTCAGTGTCATTACAGCTGCTTTTAGGGAGGACAGTAGGTGGGGTCTTCATACTGAGCTACACGCCCAGCCTTTTATTTATTTATTTTTAGTTGGGGGCGGGGGAACTGAGAAAAGGTCTTGCCTGTAGTTCAGGCTGGCCTTGAGCTCACTATACAGCCCAGGCTGGCCTCGAGCAGGCGGCGATCCTCCTGCCTCAGCCTCCGATTGCTGGGAGGACAGGGAGGACAGGCGTGTGCCACCACCCTCACCCTTACAATGGCTTTTGATTTGTCCCCACACCCTGGCTTGCGAGTCAGGGCTAGGAACATGCCCCGTAGCTGGAAGTTGCACTCTTCGGAGTGCACGTCCCCACTGCCGGAGGGGCCTGGCTCCCTCGGGCCGGGCTTTGTGGTGCTGCGGTTGGACTGCGGCCCTTGCCCGGCCTAGCCGTGCACGGACAATGGGTCCCCAGCCCGGGGCAGCGACCGGTGTCATCGGGAGGGCGTGGCCGCTCGGAGTTCAGGGGGAAGCGGAGCGTGCGCGTTTGAGTGACAGCGCGAAGCTGGGCGGCAGACGCGGCGGAGAAACCCCGGGAGGAAGCGGCTGCCCGGGCGCGCGGCTCTGTCGCCCCCTGGCGGCCGAGCGCCCCACGCCGGCGTCGCTGTGCCCCGGCTCCCGCGGTGGCCGCAGGCCTCTGACGCTCCTCGTGCTGGGAGGGCTGGACACCCCGACCCGGAGATCCCTTCCCGCGGCTCGGCACACGCAGTCCGCGCTGGGCCCCCGGAGCGCTCCGCGGCGAGGCAGCCCAGGTTCCCCGCGGCGCTGAGTCGCGCTCGGAGGGACAGCCGGGCAGGAGCCGGCCACCCCAGCTCCACACCTCAGAGAGGACCGCCAACGTTGGGCTCCTTTAGTTCTGTGTTTTGAGACAGGGCCTCTCCGTGTAGTCCAGGCTGGCCTTGAACTCACTCTGGAACCCAGCCTGACCTCGAATTCATGGCGATCCTCCTGCCTCAGCCTCCCGAGATGTGATCAAAATTACAGCTCAACTTTTTCTTCATCTCCGTTCTCAAATGCACATAATAACCTCGCATTTCTTAAGCCCTTGGCTGCACCCGGTTTCCTCTGGTTCTGCTTCAGCTGCACCCCAGGGAAGAGAGCACTGTCCCGGGGCTCCTTCGTTCCCTTCCCCTGGGGGAGCTGCAGGCGCAGCCCCGCGGTTTAGAAGGCTGTAAGGCAAAAGGAAGAGCAGAAAAGTCAGAAGCCAAAACCCTGTGGAAACGCGCAAGAGAAAAGGCGGCGGCGCCCTTTCTCTCTCTGTCCTCTCCCGGCCCCCATCGCCTACCTTACATGTTTCCGTGAGTGGTGCCGCCTGGTTCCCACTTCACCTAATATGCAGGGAGTGTGAAGGACTGGAGACCTGTGTTGCTGATGCAGATGCGATAGTACGCTTTTGAGAAAGAGATGAGAAACGGGAGGAGCAGAAAGCTCACCTCGTCGCGTTACCTGTTTATTTTCCCGGGGCTTCTCAGAGAGGTCAGGAGAGAGAGTCTCTTCCTAGGTCTGCCTCTGTAGCCTCGTTTTTCTTTTCCACGAGTAGATACCGATGTGATTAGCATTTTACAGCACTAACACGCGCTGTGTTTACAGCACTAGTTATTACAGAAACAAAATTGTGTAAAACTTTAGGCAGATGTGGTGGCGCGCGCCTGTAATCCTAGCATTTGGGAGGCTGAGGCAGGGGGATCGCCATGAGTTCGAGGCCAGGCTGGGCTCCAGAGTGAGTTCAAGGCCAGCCTGGACTACACAGCGAGACCCTGTCTCAGAAAAGCCCCCTCACAATTTTTTAAAACTGTAATTGGTGATGAACCCATGAATTTTTCAAATAGGAAGATGGTTTCAAAAGCTGTTGATTTGAAAACTAAACCAATAATTACTTAAAAGATAAACGGAAACAGTTGGGGAGGGGGTTTTTGGTCAACTAAGCTGATTTTTAAATTTTTTTTTTACCATATCCATTAATATGTTATATGCTTTTCATATATAATTTAAACTCAAAGTTGTGTTTGCATTCTAACTCTAGACATACCTATTTTCTGCCGAGGAAAGGGGAGGTTTACAGTGGCTTCAGATGTATATCCAGGAATAAACCAGCGAACACCTAGTCAGGATTTAAATAAAATTTTATTTCCAACCTAATTATTGTTCCAACAGTCAGAGTAATATAATTAGAGAATCTGGGCGTGTGGGTAATACGTTTAATATTCGTGTTTTATTAGCCCAGCTGAAATCCCCTTACTTTAAAAAGCGCAGAGTAAACTGCCCCGAGATGAAGTCTTGAATCCGTTCGCGTCTTTTGCGTCTCACCGGCGAACCTCTCACCCTCTGTTCAGTGCCGAAGACCCGACCAGCACTTCAAGCCCTACCTGGCCCCGGACCTGCCGAAGCGTCTGCACTACGCCAGGAACGTGCGCATCGACCTCGCGCAGCTGCTGGTGGAGCGGCAGTGGCTGGCCGCCAGGTGGGTGCAGGCCTCGGCCTGCCTTTCCGTGCAGGGGCGGCTCACCTGCGGCGCCTGGGGCTTCCCGCTCCGGAGCTCGGCGTGGAACCGCTCCTCTTCCGAGGTGGCGCGAGAGACCCCGGCCACGCTGACCTGGAGATGCGCGGTACCTTCCCAGCCCGGACGCGAGGTCAAGGTGGCCTACGTCGCCTTCGGGCTGGAAGGGAATAGGATCCTTGTCATTTTCCTGGTTTCCATAAAAACAGCCTTGGAGCCAGGTAGGGTGGTGCAGGCTTGAAATCAGTCCCAGCGCTTGGAGGCCGAGGCAGGAGGATCTCGTAGAGCCTGGGGCCAGCCTGGGCTCCATAGTGAGACCTGGCTCAGAAACTGCAAGTGAGCCTTTTTATGGCGGTAAGACCGAGTTAGCCAATCAGCTGTAACGTTCATCTCTTATCGCTGATAATAATTCGTGCGGATCCCGGAGCCTTTATAAAATTGTTCTCGGGGACAACGGAAACCACTCGGAATCTGCGGCCCGGACAGCGACCGCGTGGAGCGCACGGTGTCGCCAGGTGTCCCGCGTGGGCACGCAGTGGCGGCTGCACAAGGGTGCTGTGCTGACCTCCTTTCGAATATCCCCTTTCCGTGTGCACGAGTGGACAGAGACAGGAGGTCACAGGCGTTTCCGCGTCGCCCCGTGCGGCACTGGTGCTGGGGCTGACGCCCGCGGGAGCGGCCTCTGAAGTCTGACAGAAAGCGGGTGACTGCGGACAAGGGCGCTGGGCGCAGCAGGCAGCAGCTGAGTTTGTAAATCTTTTTTCCAGTCACTTCTCCAAGGTCCCACCTGTGAGCTTTTTTAAAAATTACGATTGGTTTGGTTTTTATTATTATTATTTTTTGAGGCAGGTTCTTACTATTCAGTCCAGGCTGGCCTCAAATTCGCAGCGATCCTCCTGCCTCAGCCTCTCAGGTGCTAGGATTACCGGCCCGTGTCACCGCACCTGGCCATTTTTTTTTTTTTTTAATTTTAATTTTTGGTAGAACTGTTGCAGTACATCGAGATCGCACTCGTCCAGGGGGAGCCAGGGCACGTGCAGAACACATCTGATTCTTTCTCTGTGTCCCCACTGCCCTCCATGTCTCGGTCCTCTTCCCATGTGCAGATCTCCCGATTCCTTTAGCCGTCCTTTATTTCTGCCCTCCGCGTGTCTCGCTCGCGGGGCAAAGCCTGCGCATCCGCTTTCCCGCATCTGTCCAGAGAGCTGCCGCTCCGCGCAGTTCCGCGCGCCGCCACCAGATGGCAGCGGCCCCTCCTGGGAGCAGCGCTTCTTGGCCTTGGATGCTCCCGGTGCGCGGGGCTCAGGAAGTTCTGGGAAAGGATCCCGTGCAGTGCGGGGCCGAAAGGGAGCCTTCCTGACTCGGGAAACTGAAGCCTGCTGAGCCTGGTGGCGCACGCCTGTAACCCCAGCCTCGGGAGGCTGAGGCAGGAGGATCACTGTGAGTTCTAGGCCAGCCTGGGCTACATAGCAAGACCTTGTCTCCAAATGCTAAAATAATAATAATGTAATGATAATCTGATAATAGTGCTAGTACTTTAGATATATGATATATAAACAGGCATATCCAAAAGGGGGCACCATCTGCGAACATTTACAGTTAGGGGCTGTAGAATGAGAAAGGGTTTTAGGAGCGGGCAGTCAAAGATAGCTCTGCAGGTCACATGTCGGTGCCCGATCGCAAGTGCTGAGCGGCGTGTCCTTATCTTTGCTGTTTTTTTGAGACGGGCCCACTATGTAACCCAGGCTGGCCTCAAACTCGCAGCGACCCTCCTGCCTCAGCCTCCTAGGATTATAGGTGTGTACCACCAGGCCCAGCTCTGCATGTCCTTTTCACCAGCGAGCAGTGAGACAGAGTCGCAGCCCGAGAGTGCAAGGCCTGGCTGCTCACCTAGCTGCGGCAGCCCCACTGGCTTGGAGCCTCCTCCTCCAGCGCTGTGGCGCTCCTGTCCCGGTCCGCGGTTCTCCTGCTGTCTCCGGCGAAGTCGCCGGGCTCAGCGCTTCTCCACTCAATTCCTGCCATCTCCAGCTGCTTTCCTACGCCGCTGCTCGCATCAGTCCGCGCGCGCAGTTGGACACCGCACAGGACCCCCTCTCTCCCGCCAGCACTTCCCCGCAGCCTCGGCTGCCACGCCCGAGGTGACAGTCTGTCCCCTCAGTAACAACGCGCGTCCCCGGGGGACACGCGAGCGCCGCTTTCCACAGTCACAGCCGCTTTCACCAATGTCATCGTTTCTGTGCATCGTCCTTCTCCGCCTTCTGCCTGCAGTGTGGTTTGATCTCACTGATCTGGAGAAATCAGTCATTGAAAACTGGGCGAGGAAGCATCAGAGTGCTTAGTAATTTTGGAATATTGACCCACAAAGCCGCCCGAGGTGCCTCTCTGAGAAGTAGAAATGAAGCCTGGCGTAGGGGTGCACGCCTATAATCCTAGCTACTGCGTGGCTGAGGCAGGAGGATCGCTGTGAGTTCCAGGCCAGCCTGGGGTACAAAGTGAGACCTTGTCTCAAAACAAAGGACACAAAGGAAGGACCGCAGTGACCCTTTCCTCATCCCTCACGGCCCCACGGGGGGCTGCGGAGCTGTGGGCGGGGAGAGCAGTTGCCGGGAGCGGCTTACGTTCCCTCCCGGCGGGCTGCCCGGGGCAGCCTCGGGTCTTCCTTCCCAAGCCCGCTCCGCGGCCCTGAGCCCTGACACCCTTGCCCTCGAACCCAGGCCCTGGGTCTCCATCCCGGCGGCAGGAGCAGCGGGGGCTGGGAACCTGCAGGCGCCGCCCTTCTGTAGGCCGCGGCTTCATCTTCTGCGTCTGTGCCAAAGTTCGCGTTGTTTACAGTGGGTGTGTTTTTTAATGGTGGGTGAGGAGATGGAAATATAATAAATAGTAGGTTTTTCCTGAAAATAGAATGACAAATATAGGACCAGCTTTAGAAAATGGACAAGATTTGGTTGAAAAGACTTTCTTTTAATGAGTGAACACTCTAGCTTTTGGTACAGAATTTAAATATTAGTTAACTTCAGTCAGATAATTCCAGTAACTTTGTGAAACTAAATATGTGTGCAATAAGAAATATATAGTGTGGGATTTTTTTTTGTCCTTTTTGAGACAAGGTCTCGCTAGGCAGTTCAGACTGGCCTTGAGCTCACTTTGTAGCCCAGGCTGGTCTTGAACTCACAAAGATCCTCCTGCCTCAGCCTCCTGAGTGCTGGGCTCCACCATGCCCAGCTTTTGTTTTGTATTTTGAGAAAGGATCACATTATATAGCTCAGGCTGGCCTTGAACTTGTTTATGCCGGCCTCAAACTACTGGTGATCCTCCTGCCTCAGCCTCCCAAGTGCTAGGATTACAGTGTGTACCACCAAGGTCTACTAAAACTTTTTCTTTAAGGCCTTGGATATTTTGGCTCTTCTTAGTTGAGTTCTCCCTGTGAAACAAACAGAAACTTTGTGTGTGTGCGTGCATGCATGTGTGTGCATGTGTGGTGTGTGTGTGTGTGTGTGTGTGTGTGTGTGCGTGGTGCGTGTCTGAGTTGTGTGCTCCAGGGAAGCCAGAGAAAGAAGCAAATGAGAGAAAGCTTTTAAGTCCGGTCTTTAGAAATTGGAGTCTTGTTCTCTTCAGAGACCAGATCTGAGCTGATAGAGTACTGTTGCTCTGACGGTCTAGGATTATCTGTCACTGTTTATTCTAAGTATAAAAACCAACTATGCACAAAATTACTGACACTGCTCAATTCGAAGATTAAGACATGAAGCGGTGGGCAAAAGACAAATTAATTACATGTTTAAAGTTATTCAAGGAACAGAGCAACAGTTTATGGGAACCCATCCCAGAAGTTAAAAATGAACTCTGAATTTGTGGAAAGTGCTAGCTTCTCCTTCCCAAGTGTTGGGGTCGGCTTGCCCTGAGCGTTCCCCTTTGGGGGGCCGGGGTGGTGCTTTTTGACACAGGGTCTTGAGATGCGGTTCGTTGTGACCTTGAATTCACTCTGCAGCCCCGGCTGGCCTCAAGCTTGCGGGGATCCTTCTGTGACCCTGGGTATCCTTTATTCCTGCTTTTACATTGTGTCTTTAAACGTTTCCACTATAAAATGTGAATGCATACTTTTCCCCAGTTCCAAAAATTTCCCTTTTTTTTTTTTTTTTGTCTTTTTGAGACAGGGTCTCACTCTACAGTTCAGGCTGGTCTTGAGCTCACTTTGTAGCCCAGCTTGGCCTTGAACTCGCAATGATCCTCCTGCCTCAGCCTCCCCAGTGCTAGGATAACAAGTGTGCGCCACCATGCCCGGCCAAAAATTTATTTCTAATGCACCAAAATGCATAAACGCTCATGTTAACCACAGGCTTCCCAGTCACGGAGGCCTGGAGGGGAAAGGGCGGGGGCGGGCTTGAAGGCGGACTTTTCTTTCCGTCTCGTCAAGCCTTTGCGGTTGCCCTTTGCGTGCGTCCGGGGGACACGGGGCGTTGGGATTCTGTGTGCAGAACCCGGAATGCTCATTCTTTCGGCCCTGCTGTGATGTGTGGGCCTCATGGTCAGGAGTTCGAGCCTGAAACTAGATTGACCCCACGATTGAAAACAGCGCTGTATGTGAGGAGGAATGTGAGGAGGAAGCGGCCCGACTCCGGGGACTGGCCGTGCGGTAGGGGCCCTGCGGACCCTGGCTGGGCAGTGACCTTGTTTTTCCACAGGTCCAAGAACAGTTTGTCCTGTGGAGGCGGCACCCACGGCTACGACAACAACTTTAAGAGCATGGAGGTAACAAACTGCTGGTATTTTTTAATTTTTTGAGACAGGGTCCTGCTGAGTAGGCCAGGCTGGCCTTGAACTCATGGCAGTCCTTCCTGCCTCAGCCTCTGGAGTGCTGGGCTCACACCCAGCCTGTGAAACTGCTGATTTGAAAACAGATGCTCGCTGAGTAACATGATGAGCAGTGTCTACGTCTCTTGATCATGTGTGAAGAAAACAGGTGTCTCTGCCGTTAGGAAATGCGCTGAAGGGTGCGACAGGAAAGCAGCAGAGGAAGTGGTGGAGGAGACAGAGCTGGAGGAGATGCAAAGCAAAGTGCAGTAAGGCCCTGGGCTGCCTGCGGGTGCTGGGTGTCACGTGGTGCCGCCGGGCTGGCTGGAGAAGGTGAGGGAGGAAACCTCGCAGATCCCAGGGGCCAAGGGTCCCGGGAGAGACCTGGGTGGCTGTGTGGGCCCTGTGTGCGGGCGCCTGACGCGTGCTGTGAGCCGTCAGGAGGCAGCCTGGAGCTACAGCTGCGGTCTGTAGGGGGCAGCCCTGAGTCTTTGGAAGTATTTTTATTATTGGTGCATTTCAGGTATACACACTGATCACACTCATCACAGGGAACTGGTGAGCACACGACCTAGCTCATTTCCTCTTTTTTCCCATCCCCCTCCCCTCCCTTCAGCCCCTCTTCCGCTCCTTATTTACAGAGCTTTGTTCCCATTTTCTCCTCTTACTTTTTTTTTACTGTCCTTTCTTCTCCTTTCCCCTCCCCCTCTCTAGTTCCCCCTTCTCCCTTGAACATTTTCTTCCTGTTTCCCAGTATCTGTGATACATTTGGTCCTGATTTACACTTTCGGTCTCTCACACCACAGAAACAATGTGGTATTTAAGTGTGGGTCTGATTTCTTTCACTTAAGAGTGTGGTCTCTTTCTTTCACTTAAGAGTGTGGCCTCCATTTACCTAGTAATGTCTCGAGCTGATCCTTCTTTGTGGCAGACCCCTGCCACAGTACAAATAAAACCGTATCTTCTTTATCCATTCATTCGTGGATGGGCATTGGGGGTGGTGCCGGGATTTAGCTAGTACAAACTGTGCTGCTATAAACATAAGTGTGCATACATCACCGTGGTGTGATGCTTTGAATTCTTTTGGGAAGATACCAAGAAGGGGAATAGCTGGGTCAAATGGAACCTTTAGTCCTAGTTTACTGAGGAACCTCCACACTGATGTCCTCAGTGGTTGCACCAGTCTGCACTCCCACCAACAGTGGAGAAGGGTTCCTTTTTCCCACAGCCCCGCCAGCATTTGTTATTGGTTGATTTCTTGATCATAGCTATTTTTCCTGGAGTGAGATTGAATCTCAGTGTTGTTCTAATTTGCATCTCTTGAATGACCAGTGATGTTGAACATTTTCATATATTTATTTTCCATTTGTACTTCCTCTGAGAAGCATTTATTCATCTCAGATGCCCATTTTTGCATTCAGTCTTTAAATTTGGGGGTTCCGATTGTTTTTGTTCTTTATATGTTCTAGATATCAGTCCTCTGTCTGAGGAACAGCTGGCAAAAATTGTTTCCCACACTGTGGGTCCTCTCTTCACTCTGTTGGTAGTTTCTTTTGCTGCACAAAGGTTTTTAATATGATGAGATCCCAGGTGTTGATCCTTTGTGATATTTCCTGTGTGATTGGGTTTTGTTCATAAAGTCTTTGCCTACACCAATGTCTTCAAGGGTTTTACTTACTGTATCTTCTGTCAGATTTAGTATTTCTGTTTTAATATTTAGATCTTTGATCCATTGTAATTTTAGTTTAGTGCATGATGAGAGGTATGTCTAGTTTTAATCTTTGGCATGTAGAAAGCCAGTTTTCCCAGCACCTTTTATTAAAGAGGCTATCTTTTTTCCATTAAAGATATTTGGCTCCTAGGGGCTGGGGATTTAGCTCAGTGGCAAAGTGCCTGCCTCGCAAGCTCAAGGTCATGAGTTTGGTTCCCGGTACCGGAGAAAAACCAAAAAAAAAAAAAAGATATTTGGCTCCTTTATCAAAGATAAGGTGGTTGAGTATGTTTGGAATTCTTTCTGCATCTTCTGATGTTTTCCACTGATCCTCAGGTCTGTTTGTTTTTTTTTTCTAGTACCATGCTGTTTTTACCATAGTAGCTTTGTAGTATAATTTTAAGTCAGGGATTGTGATGCTCCCTGACTTGCCTTTGCTCCTCAGAATTGCCTTTGCTATTCTAGTTCTCTTCTGATTCCAAATGAATTTTAGGATTGTTTTCTCTAATTTTGTGAGATATGCTATTAGTGTTTTGATTGGGATTGCATTAAATCTGTATAACAATTTTGTAAGTATGGCCATTTTCACTATATTGGTCCTTCCTACCCCAGAACAAGGGATGTCTTTCCATTTTCTGATATCCTCTTCAATCTCCTTTTTCAGAGTCCTGTAGTTTTCAATGTAGAGGTCTTTTACTTTTTTCATTAGATTGACTCCTAGGTATTTCATTTTTTGGCTGCTATTATTAAAGGTGTTGTTTCCCCAATTTCTCTCTCAGTGAGTTTGTTATCTGTATACAGAAAGTCTATTGATTTTTGAGTGTTGAGTTTGTATACAGCTATGCTACTGAATTTAGTTACTAAATCTAGAAGTCTTGCTGAGCATGGTAGCACATGCCTGTAATCCCAGCACTTGGGAGGCTGAGGCAGGAGGACTGCTGGTTATTTGTGACAGTAGGGTATTAAGTTCTTCCACAACAGTTGTATTAGCACCTATTTAATTTTCCTGTCTGTTAATATTTGTTTTATATGGCTGGGTGTGCTGGTATTTGGTGCATATATATTTATGATTGTTATCTCTTCCTCTTGGATTGTTCCCTCTTTGTCTCTCTTAACATGTCGGCTTGAAATCCATGTTGTCTGCAAACAAAATAGCTATCCTTGCTTTTTTCTGGGTTTCTGTCCCCTGGAGTATTGTTTTCTTTCCTAGAACTTTTAGTCTATGAATTTCTTTTGGAATTAAATGTGTTTCTTGTATGCAGCATATTGTTGGATCTTGCTTCTTCTTTTTTTTTTTTTTTTTCTTTTTTGGTACTGAGAATAGAACTTAGGACATTGCACTTGACAGATTTTGCTTCTTGATCCGTTCTGCCAGTCTATTTCTCCTCACTGGTGAATTGAGACCATTAACATTGATGATTATAACTAGTGTGTACTGACTTTTTCTTGTCATGTTATTTTCCTGTTGTTGGTCCCCCACCCCCTATTTAATTACTTGCCTAGTGTGGTGGATTCATTCTTTTGGGGTTCATGGAATTATAGTCCTTGTTGTCTCCTTCTTTGGACTTTAAAACATTTTGGAATACTGGTTTTGAAGATAGAAATTTATTTTGGTGGTTTTTTTTGTCATGGAAGTATCTCATTTCTCCATCAATTTTAAAGATAATTTTGCAGGATATATCAGTCTGGAGTGGAGTTTATTTTCTTTTAGGGCTTGCAATTTGTCACTTCTAGCTCTTCTTGACTTGAGGGTTTGTGTTGAGAAGTCTACTGTGATTCTGATGGACTTTCCTTTATATTTGTGTCTTTGCTCTTACAGTTTTTAATATTTTGTTTTTGTGTTGAATTTATGGAATGTTGACTTTTTATGTGCCTTGGTGTAGATGTTTTTGATTCTGGCTAATTGGAGTTTTATATACCTCATTTATCTGTATGTCAAATTCTTTTTTCTTGCTTGGGAAGTTTTCTCACACTAGAACAGATTTTTTTTATGTCATTTCCATGATCTCCTGGCTTTTCATTTATTCCTGTCAATCTTATGCTATTCTTCTTTGCATCACTTAGCAGCTGTTGGATAGATATTTCGTGATCCCTTGCTACTTTCAAGAAATTTTTCTTTATATGATCACTAATTGCAATTCTGTCTTCTATATCTGGTATTCTGTCCTCACATTGGCTCACTCTGCTGCACATAGTTCCAATGGAAGTTTTAATCTCCTGGATATCTGTTTGAATCTGTTTCATGGATTCCATTTCTTTCCTATGCTGGGTGAGGCTGTCTCAGAGAGGCTGTTTCTCTGTTGCTCACCATTACCCTATCTTCCAGGATCTCCTTGGAAACTATTTAAAACTCATGGAATTAGCCAAGCATGGTGGCGCATGCCTATAATCCCAGCACTTGGGAGGCTGAGGCAGGAGGATCATTGCTAGGTCAAGACTAGCCTGGGCTGCAAAGTGAGCTCAAGGCCAGCTGGAACTGCATAGTGAGACCCTGTCTCAAAAAAAACCTCATGGAATTACATGAGATCCTTAGGGTTGGAGTATGGGTAAAGATCAAGTACTGAATGTGGATGCTTCTATTTGGAGATGTTGAGAAGAAAAGGAGTTATTGGGAAACAGCTAGATATAGAGGCTATGGCAAGAAAGAATAAAAACCAGGAGTTTGAGAAGAAGGAAAATATACAGAGAAGCCCATGAGCAAAATGCCCAGGTGCTGCCTCTGGCACTGCTTTCTGCTTCCTGAAATCTGATTGTCTTATCTAGTTCCACTTATCACACACACACATGCACACACACACGTGAACACATATGTGCAACACACACTCCTTCCCTCATAGCAGAGTGTGTATTAGGCCCTTTGTGAACACGCTGCCCCTTCACATTGTCATTGTGGGTTAGATCCTTTTGTAAATATTTGAAGATTCTCTGGAAACACATTTTTCTATTAATTAGAGTGCTACACGACAGTTAAATTCATGACTGCTGGAAAAACCTGTGCCTCCAATTCATTACTGATTATCTCACAGAAAAAAATTTATAGGAGCCTGTTTAGTAAAAAAGCATGCTTATCTATGTTTGATACTTTCTTTCCACTTATTATCATCTTAAATAATTAGGCTTATTACAAGTAATATAAAGTGAGCATTAACTGAATATAAATCAAAATACTCAGGTCTCGGCCAGGTGTGGTACCATATGCCTGTAATCCCAGATCTCAGGAGGCTGCAGGGGCATTGTCATGAGTTCGAGGCCAATCTGGGCTATGTAGTAAGTTTAGAACCCTATGTAGTGAGACACTGTCTCAAAACGACAGCAACAAAAAACTTGGGTCGCTTTATCCAATATTGTATGACACGTCTTTGAACACTGAAACGAACAGTATAGAAAGGGCAGGTGGTGCTCTTCAAAGACTCGCTGGTGTGTTCTGTCCAGATGAGGTAGAATGGTGCTGGTGTGAACTGTCTACTCTTCTATGTCCCCCCTAGAAAACGAAGCAGCTAGAGATAAAATAAACGCATCATGGATTATGTTTGACTGGCATTGGGACATCACAGGAGAAAAGATTTAAAACTCATTTTCACATCTGAAGAGAAATCCTTATGCTGGGCATGGTGGCACATGCCTCTAATCCCAGCACTTGGGAGGCTGAAGCAGGAGGATCACTGTGAGTCTGAGGCTAGCCTGGGCTACAAAGTGTGTTCAAGGCCAGCCTGACCTATACAGTGAAATTCTGTCTCAAAAAGACAAAAAACAAAACAAAACGAAACAAAGCCTTATAAAGGTCTAAGGTACTGATAGGAGAGTTGTCACAGGGGACAACTTCTACACTTGTCTCCTCTACACTAAGCTGGTGGTGTAGATATCTTTGAGTAATAATATGACCATTTTCTCCTAGGCTATCTTTTTGGCACATGGATCCAGTTTTAAAGAGAAAATGGAAATTGAACCATTTGAAAATATTGAACTCTATAATTTAATGTGTGGTAAGTATAGATGAATACATTCTTAGGCAAAGGTCAATAATTTTCAAAAGAGTGAATTCTTTTTGCTCTGCTAAGAGTGACAAACTTTAGATTTTAGGAAGCTAAGCTTTTCTATTCATAACTATATGATAGTTAAATTTAAGAAAATTTAGAAAAACAAACTAAAACTTCCAACTTTTCAAGCTAGGATAAACATGGCTCAAAATGCAAGATTTTTTATTTGTTTATTTGCTTTTCGAGATGGGATCTTGCTGTGTAGTTGAGGGTAGGCTTGAATTCATGGCAATCTTCCTGCCTCAGCCTCCCAAGTACTGGGATTATAGGTGTGCACACCACACCTGGCAGAACCATTGTATGCTTAAACAAAGTGATCATTTAAGCAATGAAGCTTTCTTCTGGGGGAGCAGAGGAAGTTCACAGAAGTCCCTGTGGCTTGCAGTGGGGCTGTCAGAAGTAGACAGGCGGCATGTGGAGACTGTGCCCCGAAGGTCAGAGAGCTGAGTGGGTTGTGCAGTGTCTGAGTGCATTGCAGTAAAGTTTATTAAAGGAACACAAGAATAGGTGTTTTTCCCCATATCCTGCTTGAGACTTCTTTCCTTCTTTTTTTTTTTTTTTTTTTTTTTTTGAGACAGGGTCTCACTATGTAGTTCAGGTTGGTTTTGAACTTGCTTATGTAGCTCAGGCTGGCCTCGAACTCACAGCAATCCTCCTCCCTCAACCTCTTAAGTGATGGGATTATAGGCATGTGCCACCACACCCAGCTGTTGCCTTCTAATTTAAAGCTCCTTTGAACTTATTTTTTTAAATCAGATCTTCTCCGCATTCAGCCTGCACCAAACAATGGTACCCATGGTAGCCTGAACCATCTTCTGAAGGTACCTTTCTACGAGCCATCCCATCCCCAGGAAGTGGCCACATTGTCAGTCTGCGGCTTTACTGCTTTGCTGCCCACAGACACCCTGAACTGTTCCTGCCCTCAGCTGCAAAATGTGAGTATCAACTTTACAAGAACATAAAGATGCAAGCGAGTTTCTTGGCAGAGAGCTGGCACTCAGGTTTGTGTCCTGGCTTGGATACGTATAGAGGCATGGTTTGTCTAAACTTTATCTGGATGTGGAGATTATAATGCCTACCCTGTAAGATAAGTGCATGAATGTGCTTTGTACACTGGGAAATATGGTTTGGGAAGGAATTGTTCATTCCACTGTGGGCTAATTGTCCTTAACAATTTAAAGTATTAATGTTGGAGCTCACTTTGCTTTCCCTCATAATCTAATCATCTCACCCTTTAAAAAGCAGACAGATGGTCATGCGTGGCTATTTAGAGCCACCATAACTGGAGGGCAAAGAGATTGGAACTTGGTGTGGGATGGGAAAGCGCTTTGGGTTCTCCTGGGTAGTGGTGGAGAATCACTATCCGGCATCTCTGTTTGACGAACAGCAGACCCTGAGCAGATCTTTCTAGTACATCAGGCCCTACGCTGAGTTCAGAAGCAGGACGTCAGATCCCAGGACACTCTGAACAAAGCCTAGTTCCAGCGGGAGGATCCCTAGGGCAAACGTCAGAACAGGAGCTCAGAAATACAGGGGGCAGCTGCACCATGAGAATCAGAGCACCCGGGAGGTTTTAGGGTTTCAGAATGAAATTGGAGCTCAGTTATCAGAAGATGATGAAGCTAGGCTGAGTGTCAGGTACATTTGATGCCAAGTTGAACAGGGGGTTATAGAGCTAAATTAACACCTGCTGCTTGGGAAGGATTGGCAGTGGCTTTACACTCTTTAATCCTCAGAATAACATTATACCCAGGTGTAAAGAAAATATTCAACCGAAAGACATTTTAAGGGACAAAAATATAATAAAACTTCCCAAAATGGTGAATCCATAGCAAAGGTCAGAGTAGGGATGTGAGGTTCCTTCTTGTGTTCCACATAACTCCCACGGCTTCCTGCCTACTGCTCCATAGCCTCAGTGGTGCTGCTATTAAATAATAATAAGTAAAATAAACCAGGCCTTTTATTTCACTTTTAAGAGGCAGAAGGGGACTCAGAGAAATTAGTTAAGTTGCCCACGGTCAGAGAAGCTTGGTCTATCTGACTGCAAACTCAGGTTTCTTCTCAGTAAAGAAAGCCTCTCCCCAGTGAGAGTGTGGTGCTGGAAACAGTGCCTTCATCACTTGGAACCTGGATGGACAGCAGATTCTCAGCTCCTGCCTTGGGTTTACTCAACTAGCCTCTGCACTTTTACAAACACTGGGAAGCACTGAGATAGAGCCTTCCGAATGTGTCACTTTCCCACACTTGAAACGAACTATCTGACGCCTCTAACTTGAGGAGAAGTTTATTGGCTTCACAGCTTCAGTGGGCTCAGTCCATGGTTGTTGTTCCAAGGCAGAAATAGTGTAACGGGAGAGCGTAAGTGAGGAGCTCTCATGCCATGGTGTACAGGAAGCAGGAAGCAAGGATGGGAGGAAGGGACAAGAATACGGACTTCCAGATCACACCCCCAGTAACCCACCTCCTTGAGAGTCCTACACATTTAGCTACTCAACTCATCTTTGGATGAATCCACTGATGAATATAGCACCCCCATGGTCCAATCACCTTCTAAAACATATGTTGCAGGGAACATTTAGATATAAACCATAACATTCTACCCCTGGCCTGCATGGGTCCATCTCATCTCATTATGCAAAATGCATTTAGTCCATATCTAAGAATCACCAAAGGGCCAGGGATATAGCTCAGCAGCACAGCACCTACCTGCAAGGTTGTAAGTTTGATTCCTGGTACCAAACAAAACAAAACAAAAGAAAAAATCGCCAAAGTCTTAATTCTGATTTTTCTAACCTCTGACCAGAATCTCCCATCAATCTCTGCTTACTTTTCTTACAGCATTCTAAGGCTTCTTTAGCCACCATCTGCAAAGCTTTCCAGATTTCTCTCAGAAACCATTTTTAAAGGCTTCTGAACCACATGATCAGCTATAGTCACAGGAACAACCCATTCCTGGTACCAATTTTCTGTAGGAGTCACTTTCCTAGGACAAAATACTCAACACCAACAATTTAAAGGAGGAGAGGACTCTCGGGTCACAGTTGCATTGGGTTCAGCCCACGGTCGGTAGTCTCCAAGGTAGAAATGCACGGCGAAAGTCCATGATGGAAGAGAACTGGTCTTGCCATGGCAAGAAACAGAGAAGAGGAGTTGAGAACAAGAATACACCCTTCCAGATCATGACTTGAGTGACCCACACCTCCAGCCAAGCCCCACCTCCTGTTGGCACATGTAGCTCCTGACCTCATCAATGGATGCATGCCCTGATGAGCATAGCACCCCACAAGCCAGTCACCTTCCAAACACGCGAGACGTTAGGGAACATTTTCAGTTTAAACATAACACGATCCTAACTAAGGTATGATTCTAGCTGCGGTCAGAATGTTTTGCCTTATTATTAATTCTGTCTTTGCAAGCCCCTATACCAAAGAAGGATGAGGGGAGCAGCACCATTTCTATATTTCTGAGAAGTGACAGAATAAAAATTTAAACCCAGATTAGTCTGGTTTCTTTGTTCAGATCTAAAAGTTTGCCTGGATCCTCAGAAGAGACTTTGGACTCGGGCTTTTCAGCAGTGCTGGAGCTATTAAGGCTGTTGTGGGGCTGAGGAGATAACTTAGTAGCACAGTGCCTGCCTGGCAAGTGCAAGGTCCTGGGTATGAAAAAATAAAAGAATAAGAAGACTTCTGTGACTCTTGTAGTGAAACACTTCGTGGGATTACTGCAGAAATAATCTTAATTACGCATTAATATGTATTATTACTTTGACTTTCTCCCCTTCTCCTCCTTATTATCTTACAGAATACTCAACTAGAGCGTGTGAATCAGATGCTAAATCTCACCCAAGAAGAAAGTAAGTCAGTAGAAAATATGTTGTTTGATATTTAGAACTCCTATGAGACAACCTTGCCCTTTGGGGGTTTTCTAAAATAAGCTCACAGAGGCTCTTGAACTTGAAGATTTCATTGCCAATGCACTAGAGGAAAAATCCCAGAGCTCTAATAACAAGGAAGAGGGAGCATGAAGGGAGCTCCAGCCGTGATACATGATGGCATGATGGATCCTCTGAAATGGCTGTGCCCCTCCACACTCCTGGATTTCCTTTCCAAGATGTAACAGAGCAGACTACCTGGGTGTGAACTCAGTCTACACTGCTGCTTTCTGGCTGTCCGTCCGGGGGGCAAGCCAGGCAGCCTTGTTGTCCCGCAGGCTTCTTATCTACTGGAATAATTATACCCACTTCAGGTAGTTGCAAAGATTAAAAAGTTAACCCATGGACAGAATTTACAGCAGTCCCTGTCTCGTAGCAATTTTAGATTTTCCTGTTACTTCTTAAATTTGCTCAGATTAAACTCACTGTGCCTCTGTTTCATCAGTTATAAAATAGGAATACGGTTTCCCTTGGTGTCCTTGGAAGATTTGGTCCCAAGATCCCTGGAAAAAACCAAAATCTGAGGATGCTCATGTCCCCTGTATAAAATGCTGTAGTTCTTTTTTGCTTGTTTGTTTTTTGTTTTTTGCTTTTTTCCTGGTACCAGGGATCAAACTCATGACCTTGCGCTTACTGGGCAGGCGCTGTGCTCCTGAGCTAAATCCCCAGCCCCTCTGTAGTTCTTATATATATATATATCTCATGTACATGTTCCCATAAACTTTAAATTATCTTTCTGTTCCTCCTACAGGTACAATATAAAATATGTATAGATATGTTTCTAACCTGTAGTTAGTTGAATCCATATAATAGTATACAAGTAAAAATAAATATAAGAAAACATGGTCGTCATCTGTTCAGGCTGCTATAACCAAACACCATAAACAGGGTGACTTATAAATGACAGAAGGTGATTTCTCACAGTTCTGGAGGCTGAAAAGTCTAAGATCAAGTTCTAGTAGACTCAGTGTCTGGCCAGGGCCTGCTTCCTCGTGGATGACCTTTTCCCTCTACCCTCACATGACAGAAGGGACTTGGCATCTCGCTGGGGCCTTCTTTTTTTTTTTTTTTTTTTCCGGTACCGGGAATTGAACTCACAACCTTGTGCTTGCCAGGCAGGCGCTGTGCCACTGAGCTAAATCCCCAGCCCCACCCTGGGGCCTTCTTTCCTAATGAGGCACTAATCCTACTGATGGAGACTCCACTTTAGGACCTAAATTACCTCCCAGAGACTCACATCCGAATGCCATTGAATTGCAGTTTTACGGATGCAGCCTGCTTTCAGGAGGACTACGACGCTCAGACCATAGTAGACATCATTTTTATTAGGTGCCAGCATCTTCCTGTGGTGATTGCTAGTGTACGTCATCTTTGGCATGAAATATGCCCTGCTGATCTCTAAGGCTTTATCTCTTCAGATACACCTGTGAGCTCTTGAACACAGGGAGCCAAAAAGAGCAGGCTTCAGGTCTTCGCTGAGCCCCTGGCTTGGCCATCTTACTCACCTGGGTTCAGTTTTGTCATCAGTACGACTAGGTACAACACCTGCCTCACAGCACTGTGTGAGACTTAAAACAGGTTAAGCATGTTGACTGTCCGTCAGAGCTCCTGACAGTATAAGTCATCCAAGGGTGGTGATCTCTGCATCCAGAAGCACTTGCTCATTTCACGAGTATTTTTTATTTCATGTTATTCTGATTTTAGTAACAGCGACAACAAGAGCCAATCTGCCATTTGGGAAGCCCAGGGTCTTACAGGAGAACCAGGACCACTGTCTCCTGTACCACAGAGAGTACATCAGCGGGTTTGGGAAGGCACTGACGATGCCCCTGTGGAGCTCATACACGGTCCCCAAGCCGGTAAGCCCCCGCGTCCGTGGGTCCTGGCAAGCTGGGCAAAAATCTGTGCTTCTTCCAGATGCTCAGGCTTGAATTTTGTTTGGCTGCAGAGATCACAGTGCGAATTGGCTTGCCTGTGGCTTATAAGAGAATGTTCCTGGTGTTACATGAAGGTTTTTATATGTGCCTTGTGGGTGCAAAACAGGAATACATTGTGCTTTGCCTAGAAAAATTAAAAAGGTTTTATAGGCCAATTTGCCAGTTGGGAAGCAAGTAGAAAAGAACGGTTCAAACAGAAGCAACAGGAAGTTCAGGGGCACCCTTGTGGGTATTCCTCAAGGATGTGGTGGATGTCTCATCCTCAAGGATGTCACTAGGTTATAAACGGCTTTCTACTTGTTTATTACTTAAATGTTTCACTACCTGCTGTGTGCTGTGGAAGGCTCATAACCCTTCCCTGAAGGACCCGGCACTAAATTGGGCTGTTTTACAAATGTCACAGTCTCTCCAGATCGAGCTTGAGAACCCACTCACTTAACTCCTCTTCTCCCTTTTCTGGCAAACTCCCTCTCCCTCAATGGCGCCAGGACAATTAGGTATTCATCAAGAAAAAGATACTGGATCCCTACCTCACACTGTACACTAAATTTAATTGCTGATACATTTATAGGCCTGTTTATGAATGGCAGATCCTTGTTTTCCTTTGTGCACAGCACTATGACCTTAGAATAGAGAATGATTTCTGAGAACAAAAGAACAACAGCTAACAGAGGAAACGGATTTGAATACATTAGCATTAATATATGATAATTATGCAGGGGTAATATATCTGCATTGCATATAAGAAACAAGCAATGAATATCCTGAATGGTAATTAGGGCCCAGAATAGGTAGTAAATTTCTACCAAGAAAGAGGAGAATGACAAGGGCCTTAGTTAACAAATGGTCAAAAGATGTGAATCAAATACTACATCCTCATTAGCAATCAGGAAAACGGAAACTAAAGTTTCAAGTGCCACAAGCCAGTCCAAACACCACTCCGGGGATGGGGGTCTTCTTACGTATGCCCGGCACATTCGGCTGCCCTACAGCTTGCTGGATGGAATTCACAGAATGGAATTAATCCCAGTTAATTGTTCTTTTAAAAACCTTTTAAAGACCAAGCTGTGCTGCCAACCAGAAGGGTAAATAAGTAGTCAGGAAGCTGTTTTGGTGAGAAAAATCATAATATTTTAGATCCAGAGACTGATGACAAACTCTAGCTTTTACTGCTCTTGTTACGGGTCCTGATGCTTTGATGGAAAGGAAGTAATTGGTTGTATCCGGTTTATCTTCCCTGCTTGTTCCAATTCAAGAACTTTGGAGGAAAATAAGCATATTTTCCCACTACCAAGTAAAGCTGTGTGTGTTCCGAATGGCAGCTCTGCTGTGCACAACGGTTCAATTGTGGTCAGTGGTAAAAGCACTAATGTTACTTGTTGCCCAATCTGGGCAAATATTGTACAGTGTCCTGGGTTTGTATGTGCGGCTGCTGGCAACATTTCTTTTCTTAATATATACTTTGTCTCAATGTTCAGTTGTTTCTGATTTACCTCAACCTTCCTTACACTAATTTCTATTTTGTTTTTGGAAAGGGAGCATATTCAAGGTCAGCCCCCTTATTCAAGTCTCTGTTTGCAAAGTCCAGACAGATACTTGGGATTGTGTGGAGTTAAAGGGAAAGTTTATGTTTTTAAATATTCTCCTCTGCTGTCTTGCGTTCCTGAATTTCTACGAGCTTTGGCAGAAACCAAAGCCAGAGAGATTTATAAGTGGGTTTGGACTCCAAGTCTGGTACAATTCTTCTTTGTGATTGTTTAAAAACTGGCTTCTTTGTTACCAACAGGCCCCGCCCTTTCTCTCCTCCCCAGAACTACATGTCTCTTTCTGCCTTCCCCACAGCAGGATGGAATTCTAGCAATTTTCTGCTTTCTAATTCAGAAATTACCCCGTTCATGTGTTGTGGTCCAAGAAAATTACATAGAAGGATATTTTGAGATTCACATAAAAATATTGTAAATCAGCTCTGTGTTTGAGAAGTCAGACTTGAAATAAGCACATTTGGGGGCATGGGTCCGGTTGGTCTGTGCCTTTAAGTTTTATAGAGTTTTTGTTCTGCTGAGGGTTCAGTGAGTTTTCTGATTCCTGTTGTTATGTCAGAAGAGTTCTGGGGAAGGAGCTGCGACTTGAAATCACGGCTCTGCAGCTACAGCTTCAAAACCGTACCGGCCTGCTCAGGAGAAAGATGTGAATGAGTTTTTCAGTTGCTGGATGGAAAACTGAAAATAAAAGCAAGATTATAATTCTTTAGAATAGATACTTCATACGTTTAATATAAAATCAAAGGACTTTTTCAGAAGAAAAAAGTAACATACTTTGAAAAATGCTTCCCTATACATAATATACACGTAATTGTATATATGAGACATATGTATGTATTTCCCGCATCACTGAATCACTGAATTTAGGGGGTGTTGTGATGGGGTCTTGCTGTGTAGCCCAGGCTGGCCTCGAGCTCACAGTGATGCTCCAGCCTCAGCCTCCCGAGTGCTGGGATTGCAGGTGTGCGCCACCGCGCCCGGCCGCCATGGTTTTCAGCATGGCGCGCCTGCTCTGTTGTGTCCTGTGTTGTTTACTGCAGTTGTCTCTCTGGTTTAAACTCTAGCAAGTAAACACTCTGTCTGACCTTCTCTACGGACTTTCAACCTCTCCTCTTGTTTCCCGTCCCATGTACACTCTCTGTCCTTCGAAGATGCCGGTTCTACTCTTTTGAGCCTCCCTCGTAGGAATCCAGTCCTCTGTGCTTTGCCCAGTCTCTGGCTCTTGGTGGCCGGTGTTTGCTGCTCTGTGCAGTCAGATTACTGTTTGCTCATCTGCGTTCCAACTTCAGAGTGTTTCTTTTCATCTCTTATGTATCTTCATTATTACTATTGCTTTTGTGGGATTTTAGAAAGGACCAAAGATAAAGGTATGTGTTTGGTCACGTGGAGAAGTATACTTCATTACTGTGAGTTAAAGTTTTGCAGCTGGATCCCTGTAGTAAGTCAGGGCACACAGACACTGCTTGGTTCTCCCTGGGCTTCCTTTATCTGAAGCTCCCACTGATTTTAGACCTCAGCTTGCTGCTCACCTGCCTGTAAGTACAGCAGAGAACACACATTGCTCTATGCTTTGTCCACTGATCTAGTAAACCTGAGACAACATAGGTAATTGTTGCTTTCAGCATGGTGGAGTGTATAAAGGAAAGACAATCTAGTTTAATTTAATTTATTTCGTAATATACTGTTTGTGCTGATGCACACCTATAATCCCAGCACTCAGGAGGCTGAGGCAGGATGATTGCCATGAGTTCAAGGCCAGCCTGGGCTACACAGTGAGCTCAAGGTCAGCCTGAATTGCATAGTGACCCTTTCTCAAAACACCAGACCAAAAAAAAAAAAAGACCAAACCAAGTAAAACAAAAATCTGCTATGATCAATAAAAGGCATATAAATCAAAATCGCTGGAAAAAAATTAACCAAGTAACCATAATGTTCACTTACCCTTGATTATATAATCAAAATGTGGTAGCCACATAACACAGAATTACCTTAGATGCGGAGGCTAGGCAGCACATTTATAGGATGTTCCAGGTGAGTAAGTTATTCACCTTTATAAATAGGGTTACAAAGAAAGTTATTTAAAAATTCCTCTATTTTGTAATGAATGAAGCGGAGCTATGAATTTATTCAAATAGAAACATAAGTATGGTTAGACAACAGCAGCTTTTTGGAATTAATCTGAGGCTGATTACAAATTTTTACGCAGCTAAACATTAACACAGCAGGCTCACATCCACATTTGTAAAAGAAATGTAGATTTCCTTCTCATATTTTATTCTCCCCTGTTGTTTGCATGCACAGCCTAGATCTGCACCTGAGAGTTAGGTCCTGGGACGGCTTCAGTAGCCCCATTGTCCTCCCATTCTCCTCTGAGGTTTGATTTTGCATTCTTGCGGTACTCCTTGCCAATCCTGTTTCTCTCTCACACACACACCCCACGGCCCCTAACTGCAAGGGGATCACAGGAGAAAGCGTTACTGAACACACCCACTTCCACTGCTGTGTAGACCTGATTCACTAAGAAAATAGGAAGAGGTCGAAAGAAAAACACTCCCGGGAAGTTGCGCACATATAAGCGGGGTGAGCCGCAGCTGTGGGTGTAATTATTTTCTTTCCCTGCTCTCTCTCCACAGGGAGACACATCGCCTCTTCCGCCCACTCTCCCAGACTGTCTGCGGGCTGATGTCAGGGTTGCTCCCTCCGAGAGCCAAAACTGTTCCCTCTATTTAACAGACAACACTATCACCCACGGCTTCCTCTACCCTCCGGGTGAGTAGAGCTCCTTGTAGAGCATCCGTGGAAGGCCCGCAGCAGCTGGCCGTGGGCCCGGCCTTGGACACGTCCTCGCCTCTGAGCGACCTGAGGGCTGAGGCAGCTCCTGGAGCTCCCAGGCTGGGGGCTCCCTGAGGCCCACGGTGCTGCCTGGGAACCCCCAGAAGTGCCAGGCTGGCCCAGATATTTAGAGAGCTTGTAGGCTTCAGTTTAATTTTAATGCTGAAGAGTCTGTAGAGAGCAACACAGACAGCACAAAACTCTTTTTTTGGCTACTGCCCAGCCGAGGGTCTGCGCTGAAAACAAGCTGCTAGCGTGAATGGCAGCCGGGCTGGAGTCCAGGCCCAGGGTTCTGGCCGTGTGTTGCAGCTCCGACCTGGCGATGAAGCAGCCAGGGCAACGGCAGGGGGCTTGGTTTTATAGGAAAGGATCTCTCTTGGGAACACACAAAAGCCAGAACAAAATTCCTGAAACTCAAATCTCTTCCTTGTTTAACAGGAAATGTTTTTTATAAGATTTTCAATAAATTCAGCTTTTGGGAATGGATTTACTCTTGATATATGGCTTTTTTTTTTCTTTGTCCTTTTGAGACAGGGTCTCACTGTATAATTCAGGCTGGCCTTGAGCTCACTTTATAGCCCAGGCTGGTCTCAGACTCACAATGATCCCCCTGCCTCAGCCTCCCAAGTGCGTGCGCCACCACACCTGGCCAAAGATAGTCAATGTAGAGATTTATAATTTAGAGATTCTGAGATTTATAGTGGGAAAAGGCCCCCAGGTGTGGTGGCACATACCTGTAATCCCAGACCCTGTCTCAAAAAGACAAAAAAAAAAAAAAAGATAGAGTATCAATTCTAAATCCCTGATGCAGAATCAGGGTCAGTAAACTAATGTGCTTCATTTAAGTGTCTAGATATAATTGGGGATCCCAAACTTAAGCATGTGGTAGGGTAGAGCTTCAAGCATTGCAATATTTTATCAGTAAAATTTCTAAATCAGCATGTAAACTTTTAGGCACTAAGCTATGAGACAGGAGTTGATACTTATGTTTACAATGACTAGGAATTGCAATTAATAACTACACAACTTGCCTCAAAATATTAAGAATAAAATGAAACTTCCTTTTAATTTCCCTTTCTAAATTCTATTTACTAGAAATGGAAATGAGCAGGGAATTCTTATTTTTTGTCTGCAGTGGAAGTATTTGGTTGCCCGTCCATCCTTCAGGGCTTAGTTTAGAAACTGGAATAATCTTACTGGGGTCTGAGTACAGATATTCCTCATTTAACGACCTGCCGGTCAACAACTGTTTGGACTTAAATCGTTCCGTTTGGACTTACGACCTGCTGCTCAGAGTTACAAACCATCTTTCATTACTTCCTCTCTTTTCTTGGGTACAGTTCTGTGCATCTTGTTTGTTGTTTGTTTCTTTGTTTGACACAAGATCTCACTATGTAGTTTAGGCTTTCCTTGAACTCTCTATGGAGCCCAGGCTGGCCTTGACCTCATGGCAATCCTCTTGCCTAGGCCTCCCAAGTGCTGGGATTACAGGCATGCGCCACCACTCCTGGTGCATCTTGTCCAGAGAGCCTCCATGTCTGTTTTTAGTATCGTTCAGTACTGTGTTTTCTGCTGATTGTAACGTATAGTACTGTAGTTTTGTGTTCTGCTATACATTACAGTACTGCATGTAAGAGTTATGCAAATAAAAGCAAGTTATCAAGTTGGGGTTTCCTTTGGCCATTTCTTTGTTTTAAATATTGTGATATATATATACTATATGCAATTCCTCATGCAGTGACCAGTTCATTTAACAAACTATCTGCAGGAATGGAACCCAGCTTTTAAATGAGGAGTGTCTGTACTGTGAGCACTATGTAAAATTGTGATTCTCCTTGTCCTTTGGTGCCTACCCATTGCCCTCTCATGTAAGTGTTAGGTAGGGTACCTAAGTCGAGCTTAAACATAAATGTTGCTTCGTATAAGTGGAATCATACGGTATTTGTCTATGACTGGCTTATTTCACTTAGCATCATGCCTTCAAAGTTCATCCATACTGTTTAGTACTGACTAATCCAAAATAGTCCAATTAATAACATCAGAGAGTGAAATGGTGGTTTCCAGGGTTGGGGGCTGGGTAGACAATGGCAAGTTGTTATCACTGGGCCGTGCCAGAGGCTGGGTTTCCACAGTGGCAGTGTTAAGAGACTGTGGGACCTTTAAGAGGCGGGGCTTAGTGGGAGGTGATTAGGTCACTGGCTGCTGACCCTGGAAGAGACTGATGCTGGTGTCTGGGAGTGAGTGAATTCTTACAAGAGTGAGTCCTTATGAAAGGAGCATGACTGACCCCTCCCCAGGTCTCTGGCTGCCTGTCTCTCCATGTGAGTTCTTCTGCAAGAGACCATTTCTCTTTGTTTAGCTCCATCTTGGGACCAGAGGCCAAACAGCTGGGGCTGTGTGACTCTTGCACTGTGAGGCTCCAACCCCGCGAGCTGAATAACCTCTTTTCTTTGTAACTACCCAGCCTCAAGTATTTCATTAGAGCAAATGAAATAGTCTATACCTAGAGTCAAGAGTACAGTTTTCTACACTTAAAAAATTTGTTACACAGGTAGACTTTGTGCTGCATTCTTACCAAAATAAAAGCTTTAAAAAATATTATAATAGCACAGTTGCTTAACACTCACTGTGCTAGGTGATGTTTCCACTGGCAGTCTTCCTTGAGTAAAAGCCTATTTTCTTAAGAAAATGTTGATTTGGAAGTTATTTATAATAACAAATAACATTATTTTGTGCACAGTCAGTAACTATCCATACATATATGGCCTTACATTTATTTCTTAGGGCTGCTGTAGTAAATTAACACAAGTTGTTTACTTAAAATAGCAGAAACACATTCTCTCACAATTCTGGAAGGTGGGAAATCTGAAATCCAGATGTTGTCCATTTGGTGGTACACGCCTACAATTCCAGCACTCGGGAGGCTGAGGCAGGAGGATTGCTGTGAGTGCAAGGCCAGCCTGAACTACAGAACAAGATTCCATCTGAAGGAATGGAAGCCATCAATCAGTCAGTCAGTCGAGGTGTTGACACGGCTGAGGTGTCTCTGGAAGCTCTAGTGGGGAATCATTCCTCCCCTCTTCCGGCTGCCCGTGGCTCTGGGCACAGCTTGGTCTATGTGATTACCGTCATCTCTGCATTCATCATCACAGAATGTTCTCCCTCTGCGCCTTCGCAAATCTCCCTCTCTGTGTGGGGACACCAGTTATTTGGTTTAGAACTCACTCGAAGTCCATGACAACCGGGGGTGGTGGCTCATGCCTATAATCCCAGCACTCGGGAGGCTGAGGCAGGAGGATCTTTGCTGGTTTGAGACCAGTCTGGGCTACAAAGTGAGCCCAAGGCCAGTCTGAACTGCATAGTGAAACCCTGTGTCAAAAAGACAAAAATAAATAAATCCACCACAAACTCATACAGATTCTGAGCTGTGTCTGCAGAGACTCCATTTCTAAACAAGGTTACAGTCACAGATATGAAGGCCTGAACACATCTTGGGAGGTGCAAAGTTCAACCCACCACGAGTGTCCGTGTGTAAAGCGGCCCGCACTGTCACTGGTCTCTCTTGAAAGAACCCAGCGTTTCTGCGATTTGACCATTATTAAACTTACATCCGCAGGTAATAGGATAGATATGTCAGATAACATATTTTCTTACCTATATTTAATAAAATGTGTTTGTTTTGCAGCGAACAGTAGAACTGCTGATGGCCAATATGATGCTTTAATTACAAGTAATTTGGTCCCTATGTATGAAGAATTCAAAAGTAAGTATTTATTCATCTTAAATTCCCTGTGACTCCTTGAGTTTCCAAACATTTTGCTGCTGTTTGTTACTGAGGTTGAGTCAGTTTGTTCCGATGTTTTCAATATTCAAGTGGGTACTGAAGGCTTCCTGGCACAGTTTCTCTTCGGCTTCAAACCTGAGTGATCCATTGCTAGAATCCTGATAATTTTTAACTCTTATTGATGATGAGCCATTCCCAAAACTAAAATGTACCGGCATTCATCACAAGCGAATGCAAGGTGAATGTCTGTCCGCAGAATGCAATCTGATGAGGCTGCACGTGTGTCCTGGCTGTCCTCAGCATTTCTTGTCCCCTGGGCAGCTCAGCTGTAGGAGGGAATCTGGGCATATTCTTACCTGTAATTTGAAGATGGAACTTATAGCAACAAAATTAGTTAATTAGTTATGGGTCTTTTTAGACTGGATCTCACTATATAGTCCAGGCTGGTCTTGAACTCACTATGTAGTCCAGGCTGGGCTGCAATTTGCAGTGATGCTCCTGCCTCAGCCTCCTGATTGCTGGGATTGCAAGTGTGCACCACCACACTTGGCTAATGGCTCTTAACTTTTGTTGCGTGGACTGCTTATAGAATTACCCAATCATGACTGGTAACTACTGAAGTAGAATTTGATGCTATTAAATGTACCTGTCTATAATAGAAAATATTTCCATGTTCACCAGAGGCAGGTACCTTTAACACCTTATTCTTTTATTTTTAGAAATGTGGGACTACTTCCACAGTGTTCTTCTTGTAAGATATGCAGCAGAGAGAAACGGCGTAAATGTGGTCAGTGGACCAATATTTGATTATAATTATGATGGCCATTTTGATTCTCCGAGTGAAATTACAGAGTAAGTAATCTGGTGTTTGGATTTAGCAACAGGATATGCTAAGGGGAAATCACAATATTTTAAATATGAACTCTGTGTACCTGTTACATAACCTATTGATATTCAGATGTTATTGTTGACTATTTCCAATGCAGTCTATCTAAATATCTAGATAGATAACGTACTGTATGGAAAAATTTTAAACTAATGGACCAAAAAATTTCCATGCAAAGCTTAGCAAAACTTTGCTTTGGAAAATTTCTAAACTAATGAGTAAAGATAAAATGAGATTTTTTTATTAAGGTTAAGGAGATTGGGAGCTTTCAGTGTATCATCAATAAATATAGAAGCAGGCCAATAATAAATAAAAAAACAGTACATCAAGGCGAAGTTTATCTTAGTAAATGTCATGAGGCTGGAGAGCTGTGGACATATCTCCCAAGAGAAAGTGTAAGATTTCATGTAGAAAATGAATCCAACTCAACTGTGTATCCTAATGTTAAACCTTCTTAGATTGTTGGATTATTTTTGTTTGTTGGTTTTTGGTTTTTTGTTTTTCTCCGGTACCAGGAACCGAACTCACGACCTTGCGCTTGCCAGGCAGGCGCTTTGCCACTGAGCTAATGTTGGATTATTTTTGAATGTAGCACAGAGTAATAGAAAGTTTTAGAGAGAAGTTTTACCTGTCGGTTATTTTATTATCAAGATAAAGAATCAAATCAAACAATTGTAGGATGTAAATCTAGATTATGTAGGACACTGACTTCTGCTTATACCTTCCGATAAAGTAACACGACTGTGAAGTGTGTGGCCTTTGTGTTTCACCCTGTCCTTATTTCAGTGGTTACTGTTCTGTCTTTCACCCTTTTATAGTTTGAGCAAGTAGCTGGGTAGCACTTGACTAGATTCCATGTACCTTCCTAAGCCTTTACTTTAGAAAATTCCTAAACTAACGAGTAAAGATAAAATGAGATTTTACGGAGGTTAAGGAGACAGAGAACGCTCAGTGTATCCTCAATCACTGTACAACCCGTGGCAATTGTAAATGAAAATCATTACAGACTAAGTTCACCTCAGTAACTTTCACAGGAATGGCGGCTAGTACTTGGGGACAGTCATAGGTCAGGTTTCACTGGTCCCGGTGGGGACAGGACTCGCAGCGTAAGTGACTTGTCTGAATCCCTCAGCTAGTTAGCTGTAGATCCACAGCCCCAACCTCACACAGTGCGCGGCTGGATCCTGGTGATAACGTCGTCACTTAGATGAGCCCTTGTTCCCTTGGCCTCACGCAGATTCCTTCCATATATCTGGTGCTGAAAACTTTTAAAGCCCTTGAGTGTTTGTTGTCTGAACCCGAAGCGTTGCCTCACAGTTGTAAGTGTTGGCAGCACGGGGTTTGAGGGTACTCAGGCAGCCCCGGAATGTGAAAAGGTGAGGCTCCCGGACATCTAGGGGACGATGCCACGTGTGCCTGCATTCCCAGCTCCTGCTCTATAAGAAAACTCCCCTGTGAAGCTTGACATCAACAAAACCAGGGCCCCTCAGAAGCCAGGCACGGTGATGACGCCTTTAATCCCAGCGCAGCGGAAGCTGAGGCAGGAAGATTGCCAGCAGTTCTAGGCCAGCCTGGGCTACATAGACTGTCTCAAAAACGGAAAGAGAAAACAAACAAACAGAGGAAGCAGAACCCCACCCTTTTTTGTTTGCATCCTACTATTTTTCCATAATGTGAGAAAGACCAAGCTTAGACTTCTAGTTATTAAACCTCTGTCCCAGCTGCTTAAAGTAAGAGAAATACATGATAAAACTTTGTACTTCCCACCTGTCCCTTTTCCTTTCTCTACTTCTGCTTTTTCCCTGGCACTCTTCAGAGCTGTCTGAAGGCGCTTAGGACCCTGCGCAAGCGCTCACCCGTCTCCTCCCTGTCGCGCAGACTCGTGGGCGGCCGCGTCCCGATCCCCACGCACTACTTCGTGCTGCTCAGCAGCTGCGAGGACAGCGGCTCCGAGCCCGCCGGCTGCCCGGGCCGGCTGAGTGTGCTGCCCTTCGTGCTCCCGCACCGGCCCACCAACCTCGAGAGCTGTCCGGTGAGTAGCTCGGGACGGGGTCAGGCGGAGCCCCTTCGCGCTTCCGTGCAAGTGGCAGTGTCTGAAATGGAGCTTTTCAGTGTTTACGGCTGGAGTTACAATAAAAGCTTTGAGGCTTTCTATAGTGCCTGATCTCTGCGTAATCAATATCAAACGTGTATCCGTATATGTGAACGTGTATTTATGGCTGCATGTCTTCTGAAACATGTAGTCCAGGCTGGCCTCAAAGTGATGGTGGTGATCCTCCTGCCTCAGCCTCCGGAGTGTTGGGATTATAGGCGTGTACCACCATGCCTGATTACATGTCTTAAATATTTAAATATTTGATTTCTATCTATTTTATTCGTACCTACTAGGGAACAGACGATACATTAATTTTTAGGTTGCAAATCTTAAAGTTTGATCCCAAGGCTAGCATTAAATCAGTATTTCCTGAATGAATATGTAAATGTAAATCTTCCAACAACTTGAAAAGTGAACTGTTTTACACTTATACACGCACGCACATACACACACAAATGTGCACACACATGCAGGGAGGATAAATTGGTTTAACTAAGATTGCTTAACATTTAACCACCTCACAAATGTTTTGAACCAAGGCAACTTATGTGTAACTGGTTACTACAACTTAAATATATTTTTTCTGGAAAAAAAATACTGGATGTTGGATTTTGTTGAAGTCATTCAATAAATGTTGAATACCTGTTAAGCACACAATATCATGATAGAAACTCTTTAGAACACACAGAGCATACATTGGGAATTAAAAGGGAATTAAGATATATTGTATACATGTACCAATTACACACAAGCTATGTAATCACTATGTACTGAAAAAAAGTTCATATACAACTTTGAACGATAAATGAGATATAGGCATATAAATGAGCCAGTCCGTAGTGCAAGAATTATTTTGAAAATTAAGAAAAGCCAGGTGTGGTGGTGCACACCTATAATCTCACCCCTCGGGAGGCTGAGGCAGGATTGCCTTGAGTTTAAACCTAGCCAAGGCTACCTAATGAGTTCAAGAGCAGCCTGAACTACAAACTGAGACCCTGTCTCAACATACAAAAAAAACAAACAAAAAAATTAAGAAATGTCGCCAAGTTGGATTTGCCGTCAGATACCGTGCAAAGAATTCAGTGTTTGGCTGGAATGGTCAATAGAGGTCACATAACATGAGGCGGAAGTAGATCCGGGCCCTGAAGAAGGCGCAGGATGGAGGGGAGCCACGGGAAAAGTGAAACCTGAAGAGGAATTCAAGACTTTTGTTTGTTTGTTTTTCTCTGGTACCAGGAACCAAACTCACGACCTTGTGCTTGCCAGGCAGGCGCTTTGCCGCTGAGCTACATCCCCAGCCCCTGGAATTTGAGACTTTCAATGTAGATAATTGGGGGAAACCCAAAAGAGGGGCAAAGAGCAAGGGCGGTGCCTGCGGTTCTGTGGAGGTCGCCAGTCCCGCTGGACCGGTCCCACGGGGTCAGCCATGTGCTGCGCAGCGCCCCCATCAGGCGCGGGGTGCAGACGTTTAGTTGAAGACATGCGTGCCTCCTGCGTGTCAGGACGCGAACCGAGACGAACAAACGGAACGCGTGTAGAGTAAGAACTTGTTAAAGGTCAAATGCCCAAGGAATATCCGCAGACACTGAGCTGTAACAGTGCGCAGGGTGGCAGAATGTGCGCAGCGTAGACTGCTACTTAACACCGCAGTTTGCCAGAGACATGGGGACTTGGGGTCACCTGCTGCCTGTGAGAGGGGACACTGTCGCGGGCAGTCGGAGGAATGTGGAGGAATGTGGTGTTCAACATCTGGCAAAGTTACAGTCGCAGCTGGGCATGGTGGGGCACGCCTGTAATCCCAGCACTCGGGAGGCTGAGGCAGGAGGGTCGATGGGAGTTCGAGGCCAGCCTGGGCTGCAAAGAAAGCTCAAGACCAGCCTGAACCACATAGTGAGACCCTGTCTCAAAAAGACAGGAAACAAAAACAAAGTTACAGTCACATGTGCTTTATGACAGTTCCATTCGCATGTCCTAGACATGAGCCCTTTCGGGTTGTTCCTCACTAAACCATGACCCTCCGAAAGCCCTGCCAAGATGCTGAGGGGGTGACCGCAGCTACAGTAAAACAAGGACTGTCACAGGCCACAAGCCACCCCTAGGTCTACCCAAAACTCTATGGATAGATTACAAACATCTTGTAAGTGAATGAAAAAAGATAATTGGAAGATACCACTTAAAATGTCATTTGTACCAACTTCAAAACTCATAACCCAATACTCTATATTACACATTGATGTATGTCTTAGTTACTTTTCTCCCTTGCTGAGACAAAATACCTGATGCCCAGAATTAAGGAAGAAAAGGTTTATTTAGCTCACACTTGGTGGAAGTTTCAGTCCATACTTGGCTGGCTCCAGGGCAGGGTGGCACATGGCCGAGGGCAACAGTTCATGGCAGCAGAAAACGGCAAAAGCAGCAAGAGTGAAAGGGAGGAGTGGCAGCAAGCAGCCTCTCTCCCTCCCTGACATTGTATGCAAACTACCCGCCCCAGGGCAGGTGTAGCACTCACACCCATAATCCCAACACTGGACCACTTGAATCAATCATAACCTCTAGAAGCCCGCCCCATGACTGCATGAGGCTTTGGGGAGACATCTAGCTAAAAACCATAACAATGTGTGGTAAAAGTTTAAAAAAACATTGGGTTCACAGCGACTCATAGTAATGTTTGTCTCTGAACCAAGAAACATTGGGGATTTATCTGTAATGTTACATGCATTTCTTTAAAATACTTATATCTGAAGTAAGTGTAAAAATGGCAAAGTAGCCAGGCATGGTGGTGCAAGCCTGTAATCCTAACACTCAGGAGGCTGAGGCAGGAGGATTGCCATGAGATCGAGACCAGCCTGTGCCATATAGTTCAAGACCAGCCTAAAGTACATAGTGAGACTCTGTCTCAAAAAAACAACAAAAACCAAACCAAACCAAACCTAAACTTTGTGACTTTGTGGTGGCCTGTGTTTCTTATATTTTGTACTTTTTGTGTTTTGTTAAACAACTAAATTAATTTGTATCAAATTGGGATTTAAGGCAATCAAAACAGACATCTTGTAAATATAATAATATGACTTTCTGTGAATGAAAAATTATTCCTTGTGGAAAAAACAGCCTTGTGTTTCTTTTTTGTTTTTCAGGAGAATAAAACTGAAGCCCTCTGGGTTGAAGAAAGATTCAAAGCACACGTCGCTCGGGTCCGCGATGTGGAACTGCTTACTGGGCTTGACTTTTATCAGGAAAAAGCACAGCCTGTCTCTGAAATTTTGCAACTAAAGACATATTTACCCACATTTGAAACTGTTATTTAACTTAACATGTAAAACAATTTTGGTGAGATGTAGATGATTTTTTCTGTTGGAAAATCATAAAATAAAGTTTTCTATTTTTCCTTGGCCTTCCTAAAAGTCATGTGGCACAAATTCAATCATCCTCCTCACTCTTTCACTTTCATGAACATATATTATTTTAAATTACTTTCTTCTGCAAGGTTTGTACCATGTGATACCTTTCCTGTTGTATGTACTTCTCCTTCCTAATGGTCGGCTGCATTTTTCTGCTCACCGTTATCTAAACAAAAGGAAGAACAAGAGAAACGTCCCACTTGGAAACCGAGTCAGTTCATCATCGATCTTGTCGTAAAACTCTACATTTAGCAAGTAGACAATATTTAGTAAAATAAAAATGCACACAACTCGCATTGGTAATTTCACCTGTGAAAACTCTCCCCGCAGATGTCCGCCCCACAAGTGCAGACAGGGATCAAAAGCCAGGCAACGTGGGTTTTACTTAAACAAGATATAAAAAAAAGAAGTAGCTCATAGTCTCTTCACAGTCTCTTACTTCGTATCTCTTTGTGAGGGTCTGTGTGCCCTTCCCTCGTGACCAAGTTCACGCGGTGCATTTTGGGCGGAGCACTGCATGGGCGCTATTTCTCCTCAGCCTTCAGACTTGGAAGCGCGTGATACTCATCTGTGCTCTTACTGTTGCTGCCTGATTGGTCACGTTTGTGTTCACCGGCTTCTTATCTGCCGAGATGCCATTTTTCCTTTTCTGATTTGTAAGTTATTCATGGATAGACACATGAGACCCTCTACCTGATCTAATTTTTATTACACTTTCATCCATTGACTTTAACATCCACTAACAATCCCTGCCTGATTCAGTTCTTACTGTGGCAATTGCAAAAAGCGTGATTTTAAAAACTCCCGTTATTTTTCATTTCTTAGTCTTTGTCCGCAAGGACACACTTCCTGTTCCTATTTGCTTACTAGTTGTTATCTTCGTGGACTCATGGATCCTTCCCTAGTCGTAGATTAAAATATCCGATACTCATGATTTACTTCAGACTCTAACCACCCCCGGTTCAGCCTGCGGGGGCTTCTCTAAGTGGGCTCCCGTGTCCTTCTGACATAGTCTCACCTTTCTTCAGTATTTCTTTATTTTCTGGTATTAAAAAAATAGTTTCGGGCTCAGGGCTGGGGATTTAGCGCAATGGCACAGCACCTGCCTGGCAAGCTCAAGGTCGTGAGTTCAGTTCCCGGTAATGGAAAAGAAACCAACCAAACAAACAACAACCAAAAAAAAACAAAACAAAAGAATTGAGCTGCAGAAAAATTAAAAAGTGTATAAAAAAAAAACACAATAGTTTTGGGCTCATCCTTTCTTTTCTCTGCATGAACTCTGGAATCTTCCGTTTCTCTGAGGGGTGCCGGTACATTCAGAGGGTGCCGTGTCCTAACTCCCTCTGGGTGTGGTTGCATGTAGATATTCAGTGGGCAGGGTGCATCTGTGTACCCCTTTGCCTGTGCCGCCCCTCCTCTATTTATATTTTTAACTACATAAAACCCGTGGGTTCAGTTGCCATCCAAAATAGCATGGTTTTTTCTAGCCCTTTCCCGTTTTGTAATTTTATCTCCCTTGAGAAACTTGGTTCTCAACATCACCAATATATTTGCTTAATCCTGCGATACACACAGAGGAGGGATTGCTAACCAGGGCCAGGGAGAGAAACAAATCTACTCACTAGAGATAAGAAATGCTTCCTCTTGCTATCCCTCAACTAGGAATTTATAGCCACAATTCTGGGATCCTCACATGACTTCAATACATTTTCCCCTTTCCTGTAGTTACATTGTTCCTTTGAAATATAGCACTGCAGCCAGGCAGGGTGGTGCATGCCTGTAACCCCAGCACTTGGGAGGATCATTGCAAGTTCGAGGCCAGCCTGGGCTGCAAAGTGAGCTCAAGGCCAGCCTGAACTATGTAGAGAGACCCTGTCTCAAAAAGACAAAGAAAAAAAAAGCAGATAAATATATTTTCCCATTTTCTTTTCTTACACAAAAGAGGTATAACATCTAGTACACAGTTAGGCACATGCATTTTTGTGACATTGGAAGTGTATTTTGGGCTAAATTACTAAATGTGGCTAAACATATACAGTGTAGTTTCATTTTTTCAAAGTAAAGCTATTATATTGGCAGAGTTTTTTTTTTTTTTTTCTTTTGAGACAAGGTCTTGCTATGCACTTCAGGCTGGCCTTGAAGCTACTATGTAGCCCAGGCTGGCCTCGAACTCATGGTGGTCCTCCTGCCTCAGCTTCCTGAGGGCCGGGATCATAGGTGTGCTTCACCATGCCCAGCCTACAATCAAATCTTTTACAAGTGATTTTTATGTAGCTGGCATTTAATACAAGAAAATATCTTACTTTGGAATACAGGATATCACATGTTACTACTAGATTTGATTAAAGCTTCTTGGTGGACAGACATATATAAAAGAGTTATTTTTGTGAGTTTCAGTGTTCCCAATCAAGGATGACAATTCCTGTTTGTAACAAGGAGACTTTCTAACCCAAGGAGGTCAGCTAAGGTCCTGGGAGTAGACACAGAAAGAAAGGGAATTCTAAACACTGGTTTATTTCCCAGAATTAGTTAAAAATTTGCAAACATTTTCCCCTTAATGTAGGTGCCCTGTGCCAGGAGATTAGGGTGTGTCCAGCGGCTGGCCAGTGGGCGTGACCTGTCAGTCACAGAGATCCAGGTCACACAGGGCCAACCCCTGCTCCTGCAACCAATCAGAGGGCTCTATCATCAGTTCTCCTGGTGTGAAATCAAGCAGGTTTTTGATAAGACGGCCTAGATTTGACATCAGAATGGGGGGCTACAAAAAGGGTCACCCTTAGCTTTCTGGCCACTGTAAGCTCTTTCTGTGGCCTACTCACTCTGTGGAGTGTACTTCTAACCCACCTTTAATACTTTTTTTTTTTTTTTTTGGTCTTTTTGAGACAGTGTCTCGCTCTGCAGGTCAGGCTGGCCTTGAGCTCCCTTTGTAGCCCAGGCTGGTCTTGAACTAGCAATGATCCTCCTGCCTCAGCCTCCCAAGTGCTGGGATGACAAGCTTGCACCACCTCGCCAGACATTTAATACCTATAATAAGTTTAAAACCCCACTCCCTATTGCATGTTTCTGGTTCAAGTCTTTGTTCAGGACAGCAAGAACCTGGAAAGAGCGCAGCACCCCAGACACTGGTGACAGTCACACTAAAAAAAATCAGGGATTTAGTGCCATAGTCGGAGTCAAGAGGGTTCAGCGTCTGTCCTTGGAAGAATCAGAAACAAAAGTGTGTTCTGGCCAAGCGGAAACCCACATTCCCTGCCGGCCTGCGCAGTTGGGTGGGTGCCGGGGACAACCGGATTAAACTGCACCGATCTGTGTGCCTCAAGTTCATCCTCAGCCGCTACTTCAGCTGGAATTCAGGACACAAACGTCCGTTAACATCTGATCGCTTTTAAAACGAGTAAATGGAGTTTTCGGGGCGAGTGTTTATACTTACAAGTGGGGCTGATCCTGGCATAAACTCCATCTGGCTTTGGCACTTCTTGAATTTATTTTGAACTTGTATTTGGGTTCTTTGCAAACTCCCTTGCCCTAGGGAAATCTCTTTCCTTCCTCCCCCTCCATCCACCCCCGCATCACCGCATCTTGTCCTCTGTTTACTCTGGGGAGGGAGAATTTGAGAAGGGAAACGGGACATAAACCCTTCTCAAAAACACAAACAAGGCTTTTGGAAGCAATGACTTCCGTTTTACTCAGCATCCCTGGCAGACCACAATCACTCCCTCGGCTGCGGACTCATGCTGGGACAAACTTCCAGACAGACCAAACCTCAGCCTCCCGGTGTCAGGGAATCAGGGCCACACTGACTGGCCCCAAACCCACAGGATAAGCGCAGCTGGATAACAGCTGGTAATGAATGCCACTGGACCTACAGCTTAAGGGACTCCTTTATTTTAACGTGCTTCTTTCTTTCTCTCTCGCTTTTTTTTTTTCTTTTTTTTTGGGGGGGGGGACAGGGTCTTGTTATGCAGTTCAGGCTGGCCTTAAATTCACTATATAGCCCTAGTCTGGTCTTGAATTATCGGTGATCTTCCTGCCTCAGCCTCCTGAGTGCTGGGATCACAGGTGTGTACCACCACACCTGGCCATATTATGTTTCTTAATGTGAAAATTAAATATTCCTGGGTGCAGGAGGGCTCTGGAGACACAGGCCGGTCCACGTGTTGAGGCTTACTCTACCAAGATGTTCTGTTAGCCCTGCTTATGTGCTCGTCATTTCTAAGGGGTGAGCAAAGACTGCAATAGCTTCTCAGATTTCTTGGAATTGAGAATATTCACCTATTGCTTAGTACAGTGACCTCTTCCTGTCTTGTCTGCTTCGCGTGATGCTGACAAGCTTGTTTATAGCAGTCTCCTAAGGAATCAGCTACAGTATATTCTCCTGGGAGTTCACACAGCCTTAGTGCATTGATAAGAGCATGAATTCATCCCTAAGTCACAGACACCAGGGTTTAAATCCTGTCTTCCTAGAAGTGTGATCCTGAGCAGTTTCCTCCAATTCTACAACTGAAGCCGGGCGAGGCGACACGTGCGGGTCATCCCAGTGCTCGGGAGGCTGAGGCAGAAGGATGGCTGAGAGCTCGAGGCCAGCCTGGGCTGCAAAGCGAGACACATCTCGAAAAAACAACAAAACCAAAACCGAAACAAATCAATGAAACAAAAACATAAAATGATGGAATAGCCTTTAGGGACATGAAAGATACTAGAACAGAAGTAAATCTAGATTTAAAAAGTCCTTTCTTTGGGGGGAAATCGTTAAAGATGCACAGGAAGTTGAACCAAATAGTACAGAGCGTCCAGGTCCTCCTCGGCCTCCCTGGGCTGATGTCAGACTTGCGACAGCAGAGTGTCAGAGACAGGAGGCCTGGCGGGCTCCTAGGTGCACTCAGATTTATTGCTTTATATCTGCACAATCTCATCTGCCCAACCTGAGAGCAGATCCAGGCAAGTGAGTGTCACACAGCAGGTACACCCGGCCCAGGCAGAGTGGGGGAGCCCAAGCCTGGAAACTTTTCCTTCTGGGCCTTAACTCTTCCTGTCTCATTTAAATTAATTCTACTTCTCTGTGCCTTTGTTTGTTCTTGTTTTTTGAAAAAGGGTCTTGCGATGTAGCCCGAGCTGGTCTCTAGCCTGTGGGAGTCCTCCTCCCTCAGCCTCCCTGGTGCTGGGATGACGGGTGTGTGCCATCATGCCTGGCTATCTGTGCCTTTTTTTTTTTTTTACACAAGGTCTTGGTTTATATTACAGGCTGACCTCAAACTCATGGCAATCCTCCTGCCTCAGCCTCCTGAGTGCTGGGATTACAAATACATACCACCGTGCCAAACTTGTGCCTCTTTTGACAGGCACATGTCCCTGGGAAATTAATTCCTTCAATTCTAATTTTTTGCTGGCATCTGAAGGAATAATGATTGCTTAAGAGCTGCAGGTAAACCTTGCAGTTACCAGGAACGGGGGAAAGACCAGCAAAAAGCTACCCAAGGCACAGGCTCTGCAGCAGAGTGATCTGGGCACTCCAACACCTTGGGATGCGGCTGCTCAGACAAGGCAGTGACCGAGGATTTGAGGGCTGACGCCTGAGGAGGTGATTAAATATTAAAGCTAAAGCCGGAGATATAGCTCAGTGGTATAAGTGCCTGCCTGGCAAGCGCAAGGTCGTGAGTTTGATTCCTGGAACCAAGATAAATAAATAAATAAATAAATAAATAAATAAATAAAATATTAAAGCTAAAATGTAACTGTTTTCATCTCCAACTCAGAGTAACACAGATGAAATGGAAATAGATGTTTCAGAATCCCCGAGCTGCAAAGGTGCAGGGACGTGAATTGTGGTGGACTGACAACTGGTGGTCAACTTGTAACACCCAGCTGAACTGAGTCAGCGTGGCGCTGGGTGTGGAGGCCCACCCGAGGACTGTTGCCAGCAGCACAAAAAGGAGAACTGGAGAGCAAGAAATAGTGCTGTTAGGGGGCTGTTGGTTCTCCTGCAGGAGCTTGTCATGCTGGCTTTCCTGATATGAAATCGGCTGTTATCATCAGAGGAGCTCGGGACTTCGGTGTTGCTGAGGATAGTTGTGGTACTTTTCAGCGGAGTTCTGGTTCTTTCTTTAAGTGTCACTTCCTGGCTCCTGTGCAGATCTGTAGTGGATTGATAACTGGTGGTCAACTTATAACCCCCAGCTGAACTGAGTGAGTGGTGCTGGGTGTGGGAGGCCCACCTGGGGACTGTTGCCAGCAGCATAAGAGGCAGACCTGGAGAAGAAGCAGGCTGTTGGGAACTGAGAGAGACAGTGGGGAGCTGGCTTTCCTGATGAACTTGGCTGTTTTCATCCTCCGAGGAGCTCAGGACCTCGCTGGCACTGAGAATGGCTTCAGTTCACTTTGGGGAAGCTCTGGTCCTCACTTTGAGCATAGCTGCCTGGTTCCGGAGGGGAAGATGGTGCACTGCCGGCCTCCTGGAGAAGCTTGCTACATTGGCTTCCCTGATGGGGACTCAGCCATCCTGATCATCAGAGGAGCTCGGGACCTCACTGTTGCCGACAATGGCTGTGGTACCTTTTGGGGTAGCTCTGGTTCTTCTGAGCATCACTTCCTGGCTCCAGTGCAGATCCCTCAGCCTGCTAGCACAGATCCTTCATCCTGCTGGCACAGACTTTATAGATTCCACCACTGACTTTTGGGCCTTTCCAGCAGATCCCTGAGACAGGCCTGCATGAGACGTTGTCATGGCCTCTGGGCCTCCAGTTGGATTTGTGGGAGGCATTGTCATGGGCTCTAGGTCTTCAGCTGGACTTACGCAGGACATTGCTGTGGGATGCAGGCCCTCAGCTGGATTCCGTGGCTCTTTTGTGTGTGGACAGATTTCCTGCACTCCTTTATACTTGACTCTTTGGTGACTATTATAAAATAATCATATGAAGTATGTGTCCTGTATTATGTTGTTCCCCTTGCAAAATAAGCCCCCAGACTGACACAAGATCCCTCAGCCTGCTAGCACAGATCCTTCATCCTGCTGGCACAGACTTTCTAGCTTCCACCACTGACCTTGGGGCCTCCCCGAGCAGATCCGTGAAACAGGCCTGCATGAGACATTGTTATGGGCTCTGGGCCTCCAGTTGGATTTGTGGGAGGCATTGTCATGGGCTCTAGGTCTTCAGCTGGACTTACGCAGGACATTGCTGTGGGATGCAGGCCCTCAGCTGGATTCCGTGGCTCTTTTGTGTGTGGACAGATTTCCTGCACTCCTTTATACTTGACTCTTTGGTGACTATTATAAAATAATCCTATAAATTATGTGTCCTGTATTAAATTGTTCCCCTTGCAAACCCTGACAACAGGCATGAAGCCCTTGTGTTTCGTGAAGGCTCCGGGGGAGGGCAGCCCTGGCGGGGCCTGGCAGCCACAGTCTGGAGGCGCAGGTCTCCCCAGGGAGCTGGCGGCCGTGAGTCAGCGCTCTGCGCTCTCCTCTGGTGGAAACGGTATGGCCCGGGCCCACAGCCTTGGAAACGGTGACTAGGCAGTTGCCCAGTGGTGACAGAGCCCTGGCATAAACAGCTGGGATCTGGGGCCCTGACACTTGTCGAGGTGAATCTGTGTAATTCTCCCTTCATGCTTAGTAAGATGCGGAACTACTGCAGGAAAATTGAACCATGTTTCCCACTAATGCTCATCTTTATCAGGCAGATTATTGTACAAAAGGATGGAGAAAACTTTCAGTAGGTTTTTAAAGGTTTCTTTAGAATATTTACATTGGAACTGTGTGTGGTGGCACACACCTGTGATCCCAGCACTTGGGAGACTGAGGTAGGAGGATCCACAGCCTGAGCTACATAGTGAGACCCTGTCTCAAACAACAAACAGACTGTAGTGTGGGTGTGTTTGGGAGATGTGGCAAAACAATTAATTTGGCTTTGGAGCGAGCACAGGGCAAGAGAAAGTGGCACAAAATTCCAAGTACAGTCTGGGTTACAGACTTTCAGACAGTGATCCACTGCTTATTGAAAAATGCTGGTATGTCAGGTTATCTGCCCTTAACCCTATCTGCACTTAAAATAATAAAAAGAAATTGGGAATCACGGCGCACTTGTGAAATCCCAGCACTCTGGAGGCTGAGGCAGGAGGATCGCTCCTGCATAGCAAGACCCTGTATCAAAAATCTATCAATCAACCTTTAAGTGACTACTTCCCTAGGTGTTTTCTTTCACACATGCTTTATTATATCTGGTTGTTAACAGTAAATTAAATAAATGCTCTACACCTAACAGGGAACTAGGGCCTCTTGCAAATGAACCTTTGTATCTGTCTAGTTAGCAGGCAAACTTCGCGTTACAGGAGAGATGGATTAGACGCTTGTGCTGAATTTTTAAAAAAAAGGAGCAGTGTTTTTTATTATAAAGCTATAAATATTTCTCTTAAACAGAATTCCCGAAGGGCAACAGAAATAAAGCACAGCTCCACCAAGCACAACAGGGTCCCAGCCGCTGGCTGAATACAGTGTCTTCCGGCTGCTTTTCTGCCGCAGAAGCGCCCAGGGTGGCGCCTTCCAGCTGTGCAGGCCTTGTGGTGGCCGCCCTGCACTGCCCTGGGGAGCAGGGCCTCTGACACGCTGCATCTGTGAGAAACGGGCGATTTTTCCCTCTTAAAGGCCAGAGTCTGTGGAGCGTGAGTCACCCGGGGACCTCCCCGTGGCTTCCCAGCCCGGACTTGCTCTTCAGGGAGGTCCCAGCAGACGACCCTGCAGGCTGTGGCCAAGAGGAAGACCTAAGGGCAAGAACAAAAGCACCTCACACACCATCCGATTTGACGCGTGGCATTTCTCATCCCAGTGAATGTTCCTGCTAGTTTTACTGATTGGGGTGGGGATGGGGTCTCACTGTGTGGTTCAAGCTGGCCTCCAACTCTGAGATTGTCCTGCCTCAGCCTCCTGAGTGCTGAGATTTACAGGCGCATGCCACCATTCCTGGCCTAAACAGCTAGACGGTTTCCATGCCTGGAGGCTTTCCTTCCCAGAAGCAGAATTTCAAACCATAGGACCATAATTGAAGGACAGGTTTATAAATGTATTACAGCCTTTCCTGCCCCTTCAAATTGCCTGTGCTGGACATAACCAAGCATTTTGGTGAAGACCCTGCTCATTAACACCCGCGCATGCGTCTCCTGTTTAGTCTCCTTCTTCTTGATTTTAAATGTACTTTGTGCATGCTCTTTATTATATTTCTGCTCCCACTCAGTGTCCCACATCTAAATTCTGCCCCTTGGTTTCCAGTGTCAGTGACTCTTCTCTCTCTGCCACTGTGTGACAGCTTTTGCCAGCCTGTCACTTCCTCATTTGCACAGCAGGGACTACTCCATGGGTTTTCAACTGTGTCCCCAAGTTGTGTGTTGAAGTCTTGACCTGAAGTGCCTGGAATGAGACCACCTCTGGACACAGGGTCTGTGCAGCTGATTAACATGAGCTCGCCTTAGGGTAGGCTCGGTCTCAGAGGCCTGGTGTCCTAAGTAGGAGGAGGTTGAGCTGGGTGTTGTGGTGTACACTGGGAGTCCCAGAACTCAGGAGGCTGAGGCAGAAAGATCCCCATAAATCTGAGGTGAACATGGGCTGAGGCAGGAGGACTGCTGCAAGTTGGAGGCCAGCCTGGGCTACACAGTGAGTTCAAGGCCACCTGGACCTACACAGAAATATCCTCTTTCTGAAAACCAGTTAAGCAAAGAACCCAAAATGATGATGAAAAATAAATGCTTTGAGTCACTGAGGCAGCCACTACAGTGGACTTCCAGAACTGCTTCAGAAAGTGGTCAGAACAATGGGATATGAGTGTTTAAAGAGAAAGGAAATATTTTGAGCAGCATCCATGGTAATGTGTCTCTTAATGTATTTTTAAAATCTGAACATTCATCGTAATTTTTTTGTGGGGGATAGGGTCTTGCTATGTAGTTAAGGCTGGATTTGAACTCACTATTCAGTCCCAGGCTGGCCTTGCATTGGTGATGATCCTCCTGCCTCAGCCTCCCAAGTGCTGGGATTACAGACATGCGCCACTACACCTAGCTCATTGTAATTTTTTATAATACCTCATAAATAAATGAAAGATGGCCTTAACTTTATTACAGAGAGAAAAAGAAGTCAGAAGCCCTGAGACATGGCATGGGTTTCTCTTTTGTTTTTGAGACAGGGTCTTACCATGCCGTTCAGAGGAGTCTTGAACTCACTGTGTAGCCCAGGCTGGTCTCCGGGAATGTGCCACTGCATCTGGCATCAGATATTGTGAAATTTATAATCAATCTGTGGATTGTGGAAGAGGAAGATGCCTAAAGGTGAGGTTAAAAAATAATAACAATAAAGATAAGGTGGTCTTGAGTTGTCAGCTCACTAGATGGCTGAACTCTAAATACAGGTATCATACTGTGTGTGTGTGTGTGTGTGTGTGTGTGTGTGTCCATCATCTATCATTTGCATAATCTATGGACCTACCTGCATTCACATCTCTGCCTGGTTTCAATGGCCCTTAGCAGCTGGTAGGTGATTACATTCACCTCCGACCCTTAGGAAAGGAGTCTGGTTTCTAGGTTTCTAGGCTTTTTCTGTCCTGAACAAAGAATTGGTCAAGACAAGTGCAAAAATTAGTGAGGTTTCACGTTTGTTAAAGGTAAGAAGAGAACAGAAATATACTCTGCAGAGCCCTAGAGCCAACTAAAGGCAAGAAAAGAGATCCTCCCTATGAACTACAAGAAAAGCCCACAGCAGTGTCAGCTCCATGGCTGCCATCTTTGTGTCTCCCCACCTTCAGGCTGATCGCCTGTTGGAGTTCTCGCGAGAACAACTGAAGATGGCTCTCTCTGATTGGTTCCATTTGCAGGACCTTGGGAACAGTTCTGCGCATGTCTCCTGCAACTTTCTTTCTTTCTTTCTTTCTTTTTTTTTTTTTTTTTTGCCTTTGTGAGACAGGGTTTCCCTATGCAATTCAGGCTGGCCTTGAGCGCACTTTGTAGCACAGGCTGGCCTCGAACTCACAACAATCCTCCTGCTTCAGCCTCCCAAGTGCTGGGATTACAGGTGTGCGGCACCACGCCTAGTATCCTGCGACTTTCTAATTGACAGGTTAAGTCTCCTTCCTTCCAGTCTGGCAGGTTTATAATTTCCTGCCTCAGCACTCCCTCTTAACGGACTTGTAGGAACACACACAAGTCATTGATCCTTCTGACCCTTAGTATCTTCCAAACTGGTGGTTCAGGAGCTTATGTGCAATCATATATGTCGAAATACTTTGGAGCCAAAAGGTTTTGCCCAGTTAGTATTGATTGAAGAAAAAATTAGATCGGGCCAGGAAAAGCAGTGGCGAAAATTAATCAACAGCAAACGCAGACAGGGCTAAATCAGGTACAGGGAATACATTGTTCCCCCAGATGATTTTATTTTAGGGAGTAGGTGGCTTCCTGTGGACAGTCTGGTTTTCCCTGTGTTTACTGCGAGAAGCTGTGCGTGGAGTTTCCTGCCCGCGGGGCCGAGTGTCCACCGCCTGCGGGACGTGGGAACGGTCCGTGCCACAGGGGCAGAGTTGCTACCCCTGGACACACAAGCTGTTTCTGCACATTGTTATTTGTATGGGCACGTGTTTGCTACATCACGATCGCATTCCTCGTGCGTCTGCCGTCTGAGTACTGTGATCACAGGCGTGTAACTTCTACTTTAAAAGGATTTTCTCATGTGAAATAAACAGAGCAGGCCACTGCTGACCTTAAAAACACGTTTCTCTCAAGGCCAGGGAGACTTCTCTGGCAGGCTTCCTCCCCGCCCGCCTTCCCGCAGATCTCAAGGGTGAGAGGGTGTCAGTTGCACAAGGTCACAAGTGCCATGCTAGCTGAGGTCTCCAGAGAGAAAGAGGCGAGAAGAACCCTCATCCTGACCCAGTCATCGGAGGCGGCTCCCTCCCCACAAGGGCTGCCTTCTGCTGCCTATCACCTGGCCTCCAGCGGATCTCCCTGCCTCGGTGGACAGAGCTCAGCGATCAGCACAAGGGTTTGGGGCTCTTGGCTGACAACTCAAGGGACGCTGCGGAAAGTCTCCTGAGGCTGATCGTGGGCTCATCTGGCAGATTTCCAAGGCCTGGAACCTGAAAAAATAAAAATGAAGGAGAGCAGAAAAAGACACAGTTCTGTCAGTGGCCAGCAGTGAGCACTGGGTGAATCATCGGAAGCCCTGAGCTCATACTGCAGCTCCTCATTACCCCAGGGGCTGCTGGTGATCGGAAGTCCTAGGTCCCTCGAATTCCTTGCCTGCCCTAGACTTTGTTTTCTTTAGAATCCTGTGGATTGAACTGAGGCACCCACAGGCTGGCCTTGCTGGAGGAACTCCAAAGAAAGAGGCATTTTATTTTAAAATTTTTTTACTTTTCCCTTTATTGTTTGAAACAGGGTCTCATGTGGCCCAGGTTGGCCTGGACATCATGGTGATCCTCCTGCCTCAGCCTCCTGAATGCTAGAATTACAGCTTGTGTCACCATCCTCCCATAGAGCTTTAGATGTACAGATCTGTGGGGAAAGCACCAGGGAAAAAGGACAGAGCCTCTTGTGCTGTAGTTTCAGGGGACAGTGGAAAGTTCAGAATATTTAGTTTATTGAGAGAAGGAGGAATAAGTGAGTGATTAAATCCGAAAAATAAAAGCAGTCACCGAGTCTGCTTCTAGGAGTCACAGCAGCCAGCAGCGCCCATGGGAAGTCAGCTTCCAGATGCGCTTGGTTTCAAAGGACCTTTTCATGTCTTCTGAGCGCTCTGAAAGGTCCTTTTCTTCATGTGCATTGCTATAAAGAGGGCCTCTCTGAATCCGGACTTATTTGAAGCCAAGCACAGTTTTTAAAAGAATAGAAGCCCAGTTTAGAAATGTTTATGTTTTTGCTACTTTTTCAGTATTTCGGGGTTTTGTTTGTTTTGTTTTGTTTTTGAGACAGGGTCTCGCTATGTACTTCAGGCAGTGCCTCCAACCCACAGCAATGCTCCTGACTCAGCCTCCTGAGTGCTGCGATTCTAGGCATGGCCACCATGCCTGATTTTTTTTTTGACACAGGGTTTGCAGTGTAGTTCAGGGGCTGGGTTTGAACTCACTATGTAACTCCCTCAAACTCTCGGCCATCCTCCTGCCTCAGCCTGAGTGCTGAGATTACAGGCATGTACTGCCACACCTCACTCCAAAAAGGTGTATTAAGCTGGGTCAATTGACTGACTTCCCAGTCAAAGCACCAGTTCTACATTTCCAAAGTAAATCAGGCAGTTTAGAGATCTGAGGTCCCTCCCATTAATGAAATCAGCAAACAGCTCCCCGTTGTGTGCCAGGATTTTGTCAGGGTGCTTTTATACAATTAAGCTACTGCAGGTGACCCCTGTAGGGCAAAGTTCCACCGCTGAGCTACACCCTTACCCTCTGTCCCTTCAGATTACCAGGGCACCTGCAATCTCAGGGGTGGACTGTCTTACTGCCACTTCTGAGTTAGACACCTGTCCCTAAGGACAATGTGCGTCTTTGTTTTTTTTTCTCTTTTAAAACCCATGGCTCACTGCTCCAAACTTTTACAAACATGAACAGAAGAATCAACTAATAGAAGAACAGTCTTATGGGTGTGGTGGCACATGCCTGTGATCCCAGCACTTGGGAGGCTGAGGCAAGAGGATCATCATGAGTTTAAGGCCAGCATCGGCTACACAGTGAGATCAAGGCCAGCCTAAAGTACCCATCGAGATTCTGTCTGAAAAATAACAGAAAAGCAAGCAAGCAAGCAAGCAAGCAAACAAAGACCCATGGTGTTATTTGTCACATGGTTAGGAATTGTTTTTATCATTCCAAAGACATTTATTGAGTACCTAGCACATGCTAGACACTTAGTAGGTGACTTTGAATGAATGAATGAATTTATACTTCCTGAATCACATGAGTTCCATTCCTCCCCTTGAAAAGGAAATTAAAATTTTAAATAAAGCCTGCCACTGCCGGGCGTGATAGTGCATACCTGTAATCCCAGCACTCGGGAGGCTGAGGCAGGAGGATCATTGTGAGTTCAAGGTCAGCCTGGGCTGCACAGTGAGCTCAAGGCCAGCCTGAACTGTCTCAAAAAGACCAAAAGAAAAAAAAAAAAGCCTGCCAAGAATGCCTACCAAAACCAGTCGAATATGTCCTTGACAAGCCTGATAATGGGACATTTCTTCCTTTGTGTAAACCATGCTTATTTAATGGATGGCCTTGCAATGTAACTTATATAAACTCCCTTAGCAACCTATGATGTCACCCAACCCTCCAGTCATGAGCCAGATCTGCTTTTGTATCTCCCTGCTTGCTTTCCCTATGAAAGTCCCAAAACCCTGTTGGATGGGGCTCTGACTCTTTGGGAGAGAACCTAATCGGGCCCACCAGTGTACAAACTGCCTCCTAAACCTTCTTGGTGCCAGTTCTTCCCATCTTTGGTCTGTTTCTCATAATATTTCTGACTTGCTAATGTGCAGGTTTCCCAGGGGCACCCAGGGCCTCACGGGAGCTGGGCAGGTGCCCTCTGTTAAGCTTTGGCTTCACCCTGTTGCTTGCTTTGAAGCTGAGCAGTGATTCTCGCAGCTCGGGCATTTGTAAGGACAGCAGCTCCTTCTGTCCTCTTTGTGCCCAACCAAACAAGCCACAGTTCATCCCAAAAGTAACCAGAGATGGCTCAGAAATCATTTTCTTTTACATTTTGTTCTTATTAGTCCATGTGTGTTGCTTACTTTTCTCTCATCACTGAGACAAAATAGCCAAAACTGAAGTTAACGAGGGAAAGGTTTATTTAGCTGACAGTTCATGGAGGTTTTAGTGCGTACTCAGCTGGCTCCAAGGCAGGGTGGTGTGGCACAGGGGCAGTAGTTTGATCAGCAGAAGACAGCAAAGCAGCAAGAACAAAAAGGGGGGAGGAACAAGCCTCTTTCCCTCCCTTATACTGTAAGCAGGCTACCGCCCCCTAGGGCGGGTATAGCCCTCACATGAGCTCCATGCCCTCCTCCTGTACAGGCTCAGGATGTTTATAAAGTGAGGACCCTGACACCCTGCTGATTCACTTAATTAAATTTCTAAACTTCTCAAGTTGAGGCACGAAACAACATCCTAGAGGTGTAAGGGCGTGCCCTCTACACCCAGGATGTAGAACTCTTAGAGTTACTTAGTTAAGCTTCTAGACTGCTCAAGTTGACACAATGTATCAACCATTATAGTCCACCCCTTGTCAAATTAACATATTTCTTTAAATTGGTTTCCAGATACAAAGACATGCTTATTTTTATCATTCCATAGCTTGAACATTATAGCACAGGTTTAACAATCCTTAAGAACCAGCATTAAGTCTATCAACATCATATTACATTATAACCATAACATTCCACCCCTGGCCCTCTAAAGACTAATGCACATCCTTTTGCGCAAAAGGCATGTAGTCTGTCTGCAAAAGTTGACACAGTCCTAACAGTTTCAGCATTGCTGAAAAGTCTAAGTCCAAAGTCTTCTCTGAGATCTAAGGCAAACTCTTAGCATCTGAAAAGTTAAACACTCCTTGTGCAAATGAAAAGTTAAAGACTTCCAACATTCAATGGCACAGGATAAACATTTCCATTCCAAAGGTTACAAATAGGGGGATACAAAGGATTGGGACCAAAGCAAGTCCAAAATCCAGCAGGGCAAACACTAAGTCCTGTAGTTCCAGTGTCTGAAGCAATCTGTGGCACACTGTGAGCTCCAGAGGGCTGGAATGTCTCCACCCCTAAGGCTTCTGGTGGTT